TTTAGACCAGGAACACGTCCATTCCCCACAGCACTGTTCGATTTGTTTTTCTTCTTGGGGCTGACACGCTTGTTAAAAAAAGCCTAAGGCTCCACCAATTCATGGCATGTCTTTTCTTTGGATAGATAAAATTAAATGCGGCTTGATTGACAAACTTCAATATGTCACAATTCCAAGATGGTGTCGATGATGTCATTCTCAATTCCTGGTCCATATACTAATATCGCAGTTGTTTAGTTAGATTATTTTCTATTACATTTAAATGTTCAATTTTAATATTTTATTTTTCAGTGGTAATACACCAGAAACTAAAGGTACAGCATTTGTAGTATATGAAGATATATTTGATGCTAAGAATGCTTGTGATCATTTATCTGGTTTTAATGTGTGTAACAGATATCTAGTTGTATTATATTATCAAGCTAATAAGGTATATATTTAATATAAGCATAGAATTTTGTTTATCATCATTAAATGATATTTAGAAGTAGAAGTATAACATTCATAATATTGGGTGGTCAAGTGGCCTACTGTATTCTCTTTAGATCATATGGTCTGTCAATGAATCAAGTGGAGTGGTTTTGATCCCAAGCTTGTCTGCCCAACCTCTAAGGTTTTCTCCGGGTTCTATGGTTGGCTCCCACTGCTATCCACAAACAAATTTTGTATTTTCAAGGATGTTTGTTTATTTATTTTATTTGTGAAAATAATTATTCCTCTTTACTTGTCTTTCAATAAAAACCTCATTCATAATGTTTTGAAAACCTAAGAGTAATTGTCTTATAATCATATTCATGTGACTTCAAATGAAATACTAAAAGCCAAAGTACAATGTAGGATGTAGGACTATGCAAGCCAGATTAATTTATAAGACTTTAATCACAGTAATTGTAAAATATTTATATTAAAGATGCATTATATAAGATTTACATATAGAGCTGATAGTTATCTCTATAATTGTTTAAAAATAGATAATGAAAAAGGAATAAATTGAAAACTTCAGTTTAATGACAATATTCTGAGCGACGTGAATGTTTGAAGAATAGCGTAGTGTCGATTTTCATTGCTACTGTTGTTACGATTATCAATTTTTAAATTAAATTGCGATTGTGTTTCAATCCATTCAAAATCTCGAACATCCAATGATCTACAAGGTTGATGAAAGGCTTGTTATGTGAATAAATGTCTAATTAATAATTTATATAGCATTTGAGTCTAAAGAAAGATCTGCTATAGGCAAATTTAGCTCTTACATACATGTATATGCATATCTTTAATGTAGAAATTCTAATAGTTTTAATGCTTTAACTCCATACAAAGACTGGGTTGTTTTTATCAATTAATAACAATATTGCAATATTAAACCTTTTCTTTTTACCTTTTCAGTCATTTAAAAAAGTAGACACAGAGAAAAAGAAACAGGACTTGGATCAGATGAAACAAAAATATGGACTCAGTACTCCTGAAATGAAATAAACAGTTTAATTTGTGATAAAACACCCTCTTGTTTTTAATATAAATATGGATCTTATTGAAGAAAGTGAACACTTTGACCAGCTTTATGAATCGAAGGTCTGGGACGAAATTTTTCACATTGAGTTTGTGTAAAGAATATGATCTTTTTGTGATTTACAAATGTTAGTTAGCCAATAAATGCAAATGATTTTGAAATAATTTACACACAGAATCGGAGTGCTCTTATTTAAAATAAAATTAAATTATCTTTAAAATGTCAAATGTGAAAAGTACACATAGAATCAGGGTGCTCTTATTTAAATTAAAAAAAAAAGATCTTTATGATGTCACATGTGGAGAGTACTTCAATATGTCCACACGCAAGTGTTTATTTAAGAATTATTTAGTGACACCTGTTCAAGAATCAAGATTTTGTGTAATTACAACCATATTCTACACACCCATAATTGACCTATCCATGAACAACCAAGTTCTTCCATGAATAATCTTCACTTTATATGTAAACTTCACCAAATTTAGGAAAACAGTAAAACCATGTTTTTTGCCCTACATATTTTGGATTTACATGTTGTCTTCTATCGAGGGATTTGACGATAGTCATCTTATGATCATATGTAGACAATAGGGCAGGTAGAATGAGGTTCTTCAATACATTCACCAAAAGCCATACTCTATTGTTCAGGCAAACAACTGGTTATAATTTGTGAATATGTTGTAGTACTTTTCACATGTACCAATGTATTAATTACATTTAACATTTTCTTAAAAGCATTGAAATCAATCATTCACATATTTATACATATTTCATCATAATGATTATTTTCTCTTTGTATATAAAGTACCGTAAATAAAAAAAATACATTGAATTTTTTAAAATGAGTTCCATTTGTATTGTGTTAAATAAATTCCATTTTATTTATCAGAGATAGAAAGATGATTTTTATACGCCCACATTGAAATGTGTTTGTATATTGTCATCACCTTCATGTATATGGTCATAAATTTGAATGCCATACGGGAATTAAATATGAAAATAGCGAGGTTCTCCTACTTTTATTACGTATGGGATTTGAATATTACGAAAATGAGTTATTTTGTAGGATTGTTACTGTCATAAATTTGAATGTCGTACAGAAATAAATATGAAAAATAGCGAGGTTCACCTATTTTTTATTACAACGGGATTTGAATATTTTGTTGACATGTGATATTTAATTGTGGTATGAAACCGTCTTCTTAAATACCGATAAGAGTTATGCCCCTTTATTTTCTTCGGTAAAATGTCTGACAAGAAAAATTTTGAAATCCCATCACTGGGCACAAAACACTTTAAATTATATTTATCATATTTATATGTATTGTTTACATTAGTGAGACAAAGAATTTAGGCGATTTCAGATAATAACTAAGTGAATTTCAACAATTTCTGTAAGCACATCTGAAGCTATAGAATCTTGTGAACAATCTTAACATAAAACAGCTACATGTAGTTATCATCATATCTGCTTGAAATTTATATGCATTGTTCAGATTGGGGGGGGGGGCGACGGCGTTGCATCATAAGTTCTGTTGTTGAGTCAACTGGCGTGGTTTTGATTCCCTGGTTGTACGTGACAAGGAGTAGGGGCGCCTGTCCAACCTGATGGCTTTTCTCTGGGTCCTCCGGTTTACCCCCACTACCAAAGACCTCTCTGCATGAGTGGATTATTGAAATAAATTAAAACATACATTAGTCCCAAAATGACTTTGTGTCGTGTGGACATTAAGCCCCATTTCTCTCTCTGTTCAGATTAGTGAAAAACAAAAGCATATCGCAACTATTTCTGATAATTACTTATAGCCTTTGATTATTTCATAAAATCTTTGTCAAAGCACAAATTATATTATTCAGTATAAAGAATTAGCTCTCATTTACCTAAAGATCGACAATGTGACAACCTTTGAGGACTGCTCTGACAACTTAGCTGCTGTAGGCGAATGTTTACTTGTTGTGCAACCTATCTTTGAAAAATTGATGGGTCTGTATGATGAGTATTAGGTTTTGGAAAAGCTATAGATATACATTGAACCTTATTGCCTTCCTGAAAGTTTTGAAGAACATTTATACTCAGTACAGACAACATAGAGAGGGGGCGGTCTATAACTTGGCTATGAAGTGTAGAGTTTCAAATTGAATGTGGAAGGTATAGAACCAGTAGGCCTACATGTAATGGTAGCACGTCATTTCGGTCCTGCGTCATTTCGGACTCAACAGTTGACCTTTCGGACTCAGTTTGACGATGGTTCGGATTTTACTTGACGACTTTTCGGACTCAGTCTGGCGACATTTCGGATTCCAATGAATAATTAAAAGACTGTTGAACATTTGTGTGATATATCTGTAACAGCTGATTTTTTTAATTTTTTGTTTTGTTTTATGGGAGTCCGATAGTTGTTTTGTTTTATTTAATTGGTCGGCAATTCTTGAGACCGCTAATAAAAAGATAACACTGATTTTACACTGCTTGTTCTATTTTGTTTTGTTTCATCGGCGAGTACCTACTAATTTATCTATTGGTAGTGTGCTGCTATCTATGGCAAGCTTGTTGAGGAATGCGTGTCAACATGTAGGTTCCGGATTATCATTAAAACATTCTAGGGGCTTGTAAAAGCAATGCATGTCGAGTAAATATTAACTTTTGTTTTTTGTGTAGGTCATTTTGATATAAATTCTACAGCATATTATTCTTTTTTAAAAAAATAAATTACTTTTACGGGAAACGATGACAGTTGTGTTCAACCTTTCCTTTTAACTTATTCCCGAGTCCGAAATGTCGAGCCCGAAACATTGAGGCCATATTTTTTTGAGTCCGAAATGTTGAAAGTCCAAAATGATGCGGGACTGAAATGACATGTAACCATGGCTCTATGCATGTAATCCATGTAATATCTGTTCACTTAATACCCTTACATGCTGTTGGCCTTCTATGTCATTAACTCAGTGGTTGGTATTCTATTGAGGTTTTATTAGTCAATATGAATCTATAATTTGATTTTTTTTTTCTGGTCATTAAAAATATACTGTCGGCTATAATTAAGGTCCAGCAGAAGACCTAATTATGCTCATTAAAAGACTTGATGATCCTATCACATTATCTCTGATTCTCATTTTTTGTCACTGGAATATATCACGTTATTTAGCCAGACGGGTTATATTAAAGCATTGCACTGGACTTTTGTTTTTTGTACCATCTGAATGACTAGACGCTGGTCAGTGCCAAGTCCTCCTTCCTGATCCAAAGACAACGCCAGGGGAAACCCATGCTCAACATTTAAAAAGGGAAGATCATACACACAAACACTGACACACACAGACTTTTTATTTTTGTTGTTTGAGAGGTGTTGTCTTAAGTAGATGTGTTGAGCTGAACTTTGTGGTTGAGGGGAGGTAACTACTATTTAGAAAAACTACTTCCTGTCTAAATTGACTTCACTATTATTGAATAGACTTTCTTTGACTCGTAATATCCGTAAGAATTTTATCAATTTACTTTAGAAAAAAATCTACTCGCCAGTTGATTCTGATACTGGTACCATTAATAACTGCTGTTACGTGATGAATAATTATAGAGGAAGTCAAAGAAATTTTGGAAAGAGAAATAAAGTAAAAGTAGACGATGCGGGTCTGTTTTGACAATGTTTTGTTGTGCAGTCTACCAGTCTTCCTTCATAGTCGATTTGAACCTGTACGCTATATTTGGGAAACAGATTTGTAGGCCTATCCACCACAACTTAATATGTAAACCAGCCAGTCTGTATTTCCCATCCAAACTTAAGTTCTGGTGGATGTAAAGAGCAAAACCCCAAATCCAAATTAAACCATGATTTTTTTCTGAGAATATTTTGCTCCACTATGTCAAATGACCAGAGTAGAAAAGTAGGACGTTAAACACCTTTGATGTTATTGTTGCTATGAAGATACTACCAAGGAAGCTTGTGATACTCAAGAATGCCATGGTTCTATACTGTTCGGGACAGATTGTCTTCAAATTTGACAGAAGGCCAGTGAAAGGGCTTTAAACTAGCATTGTTTTCCCAACCTCATTTTAAATCAGGGCTACGATCTATAAAATCAACTACAGCCTGTTGTACGGATGGCATGTCAGTACATCCAACCACACTGACAATGTGGCATAGACATGTGAATTTACTTTGCCATAAAATATATATTGTGAAATGTGAATTTAATTTAGAAAGTTTCCAAGTACCGGTATTATCAGAATTAACCAATAGTCAAAATTATGAAGTGGAATTCCTGATATACTACGTTTATGTAATGTTGAAATCTGTGACTAGTTATTTATCACTTTTTGTACGTATTTTACAGATTAGAGATGAATATGACAGAAAACGATGCAGATAATTTTAATCTAGCAGGTGAAATAGCGGCTGAGACCGTCATAAGTTCATCAGAGGTTGACTTTTACAACCATCAAGATTCATGTACCGTTAGTATTAGGATGAAGCCCAGTGAATATTTAGAGAATAATGAGCATACAGAAATAAAAACTAACAATGATGTATTATGGCAAAAAATAGAGGGTCAACAAGGGTACATATAGATCTTTATTGTAAAATTAAATGTTAATGGTTGAGAGAGAGACATTAAAGATACTTTCCCACATACAAACTGGGTGATTTGATGATATATTTGGACTAAACACATATTCAAACTAATTTATCTATCAAAAATTTGCTTCAAATCCCTCTCAAAGCATTGTATTCATGAGGAAATACCTCAAGCTATAAAAAATCTATTAAAAGAAGTCATTTTTGTGTCACATGACGTGTCTTTAATTGCTGTCCATGTATTATAAATATCGAAGCCAAAGTAAATTCTTGATTTATCCCATGCCCACGTCTTTTTCCTTGGTTTTTAACTCATAAACTGGTGTACGTTTCAGTCTCACTTTTTCCACGTCCGGTAATCATCAAGTTTATCAACATATCAATCGCTCCCCAATGTCAAAGGGTCGGACAATCGTAACCCGAGCAGATAGCCCTTAATGGTCAGGCTGCCAATTAGTGACACCCTCTCATTTTTGTCCTGTGCGCACTCCATGGATGTTTTTAAAGGAATCCAATATTTTTCTAGTACGAAGATTGGGTGTCTCTATTTTCCATATATACCAAAATTGCCATACTTTTTTATTGGAAATAACCACCTGATAACCACTTTTCCACAAAAGTATTTTTAAGTAATATATTGATACTGCACGAAGAGGTTCAGGCTACAAAACTTTTATTTTGTGGTTCAGAGGTCTGCCAAAAAAAAATAATTTGAAATAAATATATTGTTTTCAGTTCACAAGATAATATCAACGATCCTGTGATAAGTCAGGTACCAAAAGAACAATTAGTTATATCTAATAATCAAGAAAAAGGATTAACTATGGCATCTAAGAGAGAAAGAAACAAAGTCAAGAAAAGAGAACAAAGACTTAATCCGGAATTCAGGTAGTCTCTTTTATAACGAATAAAATCTGCTTTCAGATATTTATATTTTCAAATAAGTTAGTGCCAAGCTTACCTTGCAAACTTTACTATATAAACAGAGACAATCTAGGACAAATGTTTAATAACACATAGAAATAGCAGAAGTGCTGCAGCCAGCGCAGAAAATACCGAGCTGCGAATAATGAAACTCCAAATGTGAACTCCGATAAAGCTGTCATTTCTTGGCATCCCCTTTGCAGATGAGCACAGTGATATACATGTAGGCCTACTGTGTTATAATTTGTAGGTGTGACTGGAAGTGAAGCAGAGGCTGCTGAATGTCGTGAATTTATATGTAAATACTGATTGAAATTGAACCATCTTTGGACTGATATTATGGATTGAACTTTCATGATACGACAATGACAAATGACAATCAGTGATTTTAATATTTGAAAATTATAAACATTTTGAATCTTTCTATTTTAGGGAAAAAGAAAGAATAAAGGCTAGAGAACGAATGAAAGAAAGAAGAGAAGATACAAGATATCGGGATTGCGAGCGACAGAAAGACCGAGAAAGAAGGAAACTGTTCAGAAAACGTATGAATTATATTACCCATACGCAAGATGACTTAAATTTTGTACAAAATGATGGACATATTTATTTAGAAAGTGACATAAATGTTCAACAGTCTCCGTGTGAAATTGACCAATCACATCAAGGTTATCCTTCAGATATAATTGACCAATCACATCAAGGATATCCTTCAGACATAACTGGCCAATCAAAACAGAGGACTTGTACCATTGATAATAACAGCCAATTAGATCAGTTGTGTGAGAACAGTGTTACAAATAATGACCAGTCATTGCATATACAATATGAAACTGATCAGAACTTCATATCAGTATCGACTGGTGCTTCAGGAAGAACAATACGAGTTGAAAATCAGTTTAATTTATCAGAAGTTTATAGTTAATACCGATTCTTTAATAAATGATCAAAGCTTGTTCAGTTTTCTTAAAGAACAAATTTACATGGACCATAAATAATGAACATAGCTGTGACCATGGAATCTTTAAAGAGCACATAAAATGATCATATAAAAGTGGTACATGTATGTGCTTGAAGCCAGTGTGATTATATACACTTTACACCAATTTCATCAAAATCCAGTAATAATTAAGCCATATAGTGACATATAAAGTGTCATATATCCAATAATTTTAATCAGATTGATGTGAAATTCTTCTGAAGTGTACAAATAATCAAACTGGCTTAAAGTACATCGTAGTTTTAGATAGTCATGTAATGAAATCTTTAAAACAAAACAAATAGAAGAGGAGGAATACGAGCATTTTGAGAGTATTGCTGAAGCAATGCATGTCCTCTACCACAGTCTAACAAGTTTCTGGCAGGCTTATCTCCCCTACTTGGAGATGTACCACAGTGTGTGACTGCTAGAGGTAGACACACATTCTGACTATTAAATTTTGACACTTATGCGTACGTTTCAGTGGAAGTAAAGTTGTTACAGCCTTCATGGGATGTTGTTTATTTGCTTCTGTTGGTAAATGTCCAGCCCACAGTCGTGCTTTAAAAATCAAATTCCAACTGCATTGTGTCTCACTAGCACTTTCACTGCCTGTCCTACCTCATGGGTTTTCTCGGGGTCCTCCGGTTTCCTCCCACTGCTAAAGACCCCTAAGCGCAAGCGAATTATTGAAATAAAATTAAACCATATTCTAGTTTGTGTCGAGTGGACCTTAAACCCCATTTCTCTCTCTCTCTCTCTTTTGCATGTCAATATATTTTCAAGGCAAATATAAGTTTTCACTAGAAATTCAAGCAAATGTATTTCCTATAGAAAAACAATCTGTTATTTTTAATTTATTTTATTTTCAAAACCTCATAAAATAACCAACATTAATTAACAATAATAAAAGAACAATGGAAATCAGACAAAACAAATAATAATTATTGATAATATGACATTAATCCCACCGAACAACAACCTCTGTACTACAGGTGACTTAAAGTAGCTAAGTCAATATCATCCAAATAATAGCAATTTAGCTCCTTTAAGTATAAAATCAGATTACAAAAGAATGTATCAAATCTGTATCCTGGGATTCTAACTCAGTATAAAAAATGCTCTTCTATGGAGGCCAATTTATACCAGTTCCACAATTTTAAATTAAAACTAAATAGAAATTCCACAAATAACCCAATTTCTACAGACAATTTCTTGTTTTGAATCTATTTTCTACTGTAAAAATCTACAAATCATCTCGTATCTTAATAAAATGTAACAGAATTTAAAGGTAAGATATGTATCAGAGTTTACCTTATCGGTTACAGGAGTGCATAGTTATTTTGGAAGTAATTCACAACAATTTATGAAACATGATCAGATTACATGATTTGATATTTACAATGAATGACATATTTCTCAATTATCTATGATTTTATGTGGGAGTACAATAAAGGTCCTAGTTCAATACCAGTTAAGCAGTGGACACACTAACCGATTGATTTGGTCGAAATTCATCTAGTGTGTCCACTGTCATTCGGCCGAATCAAACATGTTTGATATATTCGGCCAAATAATATTCGCCCAGTGTGTGCTTCGCCAAAGTATTCGGCCAAATATAGAATTCATAAGCCAATCACCACTCATATCGAGATTGTTTGATGACATAGATGCCGCCATGTTTAATCATGTGACTTGAAAGGTGATGCAAGCGACTGGTGAATCGGACGAAGCATTCGCCGTGTTCACCCATTCGGCCGAATAAAATTCGCCGCCGATTGATTTGGCCAAATGATTCAGCTAATGTGTCCACTGCATTACAGGCAAACATGTGATCCATCATGTGCAGACTATAATTTTTTTACTATGATGTGAAGTTGTGGACTACAAAATATATGCACTGATCTAAAGAATAGTGAACAAAAATACAGTTCTTTTTTATCAATTGAAACCAGAATGTAAACCAACATAAATTTAGCATTGATTTATTGGGCCACATTTTAATTTTATTTTAAGATCTAACTTATAATAAATCATAGAAATAATCTAAACCCTGCCCAATCTCCCATATTGAAATTCCTGTCCCTAATTCTTCTGCTAGTTTTAAACGTTCTTGAATAGACATAAGTGTAGGATACCATATTGTATCAGTAGTTCCCATGCCAGATCTAGAAAAAAAAAACACTTACATTATTAAGGAAATGATACAGTTATAATTCATAAAACAAATTATATTTAATCTTTGCATGGTGTAAAACATACAATAGTATAACGAAGCTTACTTTATCACACAAACCTATACATTTCTCTCGGGATCACAGTGGTTAAGTGGACAAGACACTGGCATGCTAGCCTGGAGGTCGGGTGTTCGATCCCTGCATTGGCCGAGAAAGTCCATCCAGATTTTCCTGCGTGATTCTCCCTTGTCAGTGATGCAGTTCGCAGGGCCTGACAAGGACAGCTGTCTAGTCATACAGATGAGACGAAAAAGCGAGGTCCCGTGTACACATTGGCGTGCACTTAAAAGATCTCTTGACAGTTGGAATTCGATATAAGAGTAGGCCGTAGTGCCGTTGTCCAGGCAAAATTTCCCTCATAGCACACTGCATGGCGTATGCCTGTCTTCATTAGTCCAGTTCGGAGCAGAACAGTAGGACGTTAAACCCCATTTTATTTTGTTAATGTTGATTTCCAGGAAACATTTACCAATGGGAGCAAACAAATTACAGATGTCTATGAGGATGAAATTCTTCTAATACTTGAAGCAATGGTTATAAGCATTATCTGTTTAATTGATGTCAGTTTAAATAATTATAACCGGTAAATACACTAAAAGATGTATCAACTATTTTGATTAGTCAGCCTGAAAACCAGTAGACCAATGAAAAGAATTACCCATAATTGCTCTTTAAACATGGCAATTGTTACTGAGCTGATAATGCTTATTAACAATACTTCAGTAACAAAGGTGAATTTTAATAATTTAATAACCTAATCAGTAGCAAGTGACAAGCATATAACTTACTTAAAACCAAACGAATGTTCTTTGTTTTCTGTGCTCCATTTCAGTTTGGGTTTAACTTCCTTCAATATTGATATATACCTGAAACAAGAAAGCATACATATGTAGATGATGATATAAAATATACTCCCCCACCCCCCTTCCTGTTTCAGCTCCTATTTTTTTATAGTTCAAATTTTATTACAATTGGATCGGGAAGAGTTTTTCAGTAAGCTGCATTCTCTTTGATGTGGCAGAGTAGTCAATGAAAAGTTTTTTTTATTAGCAGTAAGCACAGAATTCTTGGAGAGTTGTAGAGCTGAGATCAAAACAGTGATTAATTATAAATATTCTACATTTCCAGTCACCTTTTGACCCGACAGTCACCTTTTCATACACAACCCAGTATGATTTAAATGAATCTGTATGATTAGTCACCCCAACAGAGCCTGAGTGCATGATATACAAGGGTATCCCTATAACCCTATGACAACTGACCCCAGCGATTGCTGTTATAGCGAAGCCCTAGTGTACAATAAGAATTACTTATGTTCATCCAATAATAATATTGGCAATTATATGCTAGACATCAAGTACAATTTGGGGGGTTGGATGGCCGTATGGTTAGCACGTGCGCGCTGTATCATAAGGTCTGTCATTGAGTCAACTGGCATGGTTTTGATTCCCCGGTTGTATGTGGCAAGAAGTAGGGTCGCCTGTTCAACCTCATGGGTTTTCTCCGGGTCCTCTGGTTTTCTCCCACTGCTAAAGACCCCTATGCACAAGCAAATTATTGAAATAAAATTGAACCATATGTTAGTCCCAAAATGACAAGAACAATTATTAAGGTTTTATAAATAGGGAATGTATTGAAACTTACTCATGACCGACTACTGCTTCAGATTGCATATTACCAAATTTATAACCATAAAAATTTAAACCTAGTAATATCTTTTTTCGTAGTGGAGACGTCGAGTCTGGTACAAGCTTTTCTACACACTCTTTCACCCACTTTATTGGACTATTTGCTCCTGGACTGAAATTAAATTATAACATAATTTATTACTTTAGTAAAGTTGAATTGTAAAAACTCTTAACTTGCAGAGCAACTAAAAGGCTTTGAAAAAGGTGAGAAGTGTCAATAACTGCCAATAATTGATGTGCGACTCTGAATTTCGACAGTTAAATTACTAGTCAAATAATCCCAGGAAGTTTGAAAAAAATAAATAAAAAAATTTCTGGTCTGTAGTGCAATGACAAGGGCAGTAACTAATCAAGCAATTGATGTACAATTCTGAATTTCAATAGAAATATACTCCTTACCTTCCAGGACTTGAATAATCATATGTCATGAGACTGAAACCATCAATATATTCTGAGAACTGATCAAAATTTGATTTATCTACTAAACCTGGGGATTTTCTGAAAAGAAAATGTTAAAGTTATCATGTCTTGAGTGTGAATTTAATAGAAATTATATATAAATTTGAATTTAATAAATATGACTATGATTGCTATTGAGAGAGAAAGTGTGTTTAATGACGAGGTCATTCTTATATTATGCTTTCCCATGATTCACCACAATACTGACAAATTTATTAGTCCAGAAGATCATGTGATCATTTAAACAAAATAAGGAACATGTCAATGTAGTGCAAAGTAACTGACATCTTTTTTTCATGCTAGTATTTTAAGGAAGTGTTGCCGAATTCTACAATAAGATGGACAGATTTTATTTGATCAGGAATATTAAACTAAATTAAACGTTCTTCTGTTCAGCACCGACTGGGCTAATGAAGATGGGCATACGCCATACAGTGTGCTATGAGGGAAATTTTGCCTGGACAGCGGCGATACAATCTACTCTTATATCGAATTCCAACTGTCAAGGGATCTTTCATGTGCACACACATGTGTACACAGGATCTCGTTTTTTCGTCCCATCCAAACGTCTAGACAGCTGTCCTTATCAGGCCCCCCGTCCTAAACCACCGAGAAGGGGAAACCACGCTGGAAAATCCTGATGAATTGGAATTGAAATCAAATGGTGTTTTAGCATTCTACTTTTTTTCACCAACCCAGCTAGTGAAGACATCATATGGAACCTCAGGTTTTCATCCCATCCGAACTACTAGACCCCCTTGCTTGCCAGGCCCTCCGTCCTGCACCACTGTCAAGGGGAAACCATGCCGCAAAATCCTGTTGAACTTTCTCAACCAACACTGGGATCAAACCTGTGTTCTCCAGGCTACTCACTTAGCCACCATGGCTCCCTTACCTTGTATAAACTGTGTATAAAGTTTACCCTGTATAAACTGTGTTTAAAGTTTACCCTGTATAAACTGTGTTTAAAGTTTACCCTGTATAAACTGTGTATAAAGTTTACCCTGTATAAACTGTGTATAAAGTTTACCCTGTATAAACTGTGTATAAAGTTTACACTGTGTATAAAGTTTACACTGTGTATAAAGTTTACACTGTATAAACTGTGTATAAAGTTTACCCTGTATAAACTGTGTATAAAGTTTACCCTGTATAAACTGTGTATAAAGTTTACCCTGTATAAACTGTGTATAAATTTTACCTTGCATAAACTGGAGGAGGGAGAACTAATATAAATATTTTCTTTTTGTTGTGAAAGATTTCAGCAACATGGTTGATAAAATGAATCAGCTCTCTGTAAAAATATCAAATTAAAAATTGATGAGGAAATTTACCGTATATTATGGGATAACTATTGAACTATGCCATGTTCCATATATCTCCCTTGAATATCAATTTAAAAAAACTGAAAAAATTTAAGTTATATTTAATTTGAAGAAATTAAAATTTTCTTTCTACCATAAATAGTAGTTTTGTTACAGTCAATTAAAAGTTTACTCACTGTCTTCTAGTACCACCTAATGATGACCATATCTCTAAAACAATTCCACCAAAACCATATTTCTGTCAATCAAATTATTAGTGTAACTTACAATAATTAGCTATAGTACATGTAATACAATAGATTTACAGTACCAACTCCTTGTCAATTGGAATTGAAATGAATTTAACTGGGGCTTAACTTCCTACTTTTTTGCACTACCCTAGCTAGTGAAGATGAGCACACATTATGTGGGACCTAAGGTTTTCATCCCATCCAAACTACTAGACTCCCTTGCTTGTCAGACCCCCCCCCCCCAAAAAAAAACAAAAAAACAAAACAAAACACATAAAAAAACAAACTCCTGGTTACTCATGGGCAATGGAACTTTTCGTCAAATATCGACAACAGTCCCAGACCCTCCGTACATTGAAGACTAGGAGGTTCTGGCCGGGACTACCTTTAATGGCATATTTATGAACACTCTAAATATAGTACTAAGGACCGTATCTCTTCCCTCCCCCCCCCCACCCAACACACACACACAAAATAATTTTTTTGAGAATGTAAATTAAATACACCAAATTGGTTTGAAAATCATATCAACAAAATAGTTTCTAGACTGCTACAAACAACCCGAAATTGACTGATGCCTATTGCCTTGGTTACTCTAATCCAAGTCAACGACTCCAATTAGTGCTGGGCATAGTGCTCAAGGCAGGGTATTTCTAGAACATTTGATACCACTTCTCCTTTTTGAGAGCACATTCACACGGTTATCAATTTCTGTTGTGTTTTGGAGTAAGATACAAACCTTAAGATATTTAATCATGTAATTAGCACAATCTTCCATAACATCTTCACTTGAAAATAAAGCATCATAATCATTGCCAGTCCATCTCTCAAATAATACTCTAGGTACTGAAATAATAACATCATCAAATATCTATACAGTCTATCTCTCAAATAATACTCTAGGTCTGTCTCTTAAATAATACTCTTGGTAGTGTACTGAAATAATATATACTCAAATAATACTCAAGGTACTGAAATAATACATAGTTAAATAATATTCTAGGTAGTGTACTGAAATAATGCATACTCAGATAATACGCTAGTTACTGAAATAATACATACTCAAATAATACGCTAGGTACTGAAATAATAACACTATCAAATAATAATAATTCAAAACCTATAATTTACTATATTTAGTTTTCCACTGAAGTGCAAAGCATTTTATTAGGTAATCTTTTTTTATGATGAGGGGTGGTTGTGGAGGTACTTTTGTATTTAATATGAACTTACCTATTTTTGTATTCCTGTCCTTGGTAACATCTGATACCCAGCCTAAAATACAAATTGTAAATAAACAAAACCTATCAAACGGGGAAATCCCAGATTTCAGTTTATAATGTAGGTTTCAGTACCGTATAAAAATAATACACAAAATCAATGTTAAGAAACAGTCCCATTATGTTGTCTGAAAGTTTCAAATTAAAATATTAAGCTATGGATATACTAGATCAGCTTACAGGGGTTTATCACGTTTATAACTGATTTTTACAGAATTTCATTGTTCAGTTTTCATAACTGTGATAATATCTTGCCACTATAACTTGTGTAAGTATACAGACATTGTAATTCTAGGCATATATGATTTTCCAAGCACTTGCACAGTATTGTATTTTAGGAATTATGGTCAATCCCACATTGAGAAAGAGAAATAAGGTTTAACATCCACTCGACACAAACTAGGTCATTTGTGGAATAACAAATGGTTCAATTTTATTTTAATAATTCGCTTGCACGTAGGGGTCTTTAGCAGTAGGAGGAAAACGGAGGACCCAGAGAAAACCTACTCCTTGTCATGTACAACCGGGGAATCGAAACCACGCTAGCTGACTCAATGACAGATCTTATGATACAACACGCACGCTAACCATTCGTCCATCCAACCCAACATTGAAACCGGTCATTTTATTTCTTCAAGAAATTATCACAGAGTTTCAGATAAATACACTGGACAAGAATAAAGGGCTGCAAGATCCTTACACCAAAATTTAACCAGCTCTATTCACTAAAAGATATTTGGACTGATCCTTTAAAATTAAAATAAATTGAAAAATCAAAACACATCTTTTTACCTTTGTCGATATCGTGTCCACCTGCCATATGAAAAGCACCACCTGGTTTTCTCTGCAGTTGTAACCACACAGGACTAACATAATCAAACTTAGCACCAAATATCTTTGCTATATCATAACCATGGCTATTCCACTGTCAAAATAATAACATTAGTATTACTTAAAAAAAATAGCTGGGAGAAAAATAATGCATATAATTCCTTTATGTCTGATTGAAAGCATTACATTATCCTATTTGTGTGGGGAAGTTAGGATTACCCAAGGATATGATTACTTTTTCGGCGATAGTGGCCAAAATGTTTGACTACAAAAAAATGAAATGAAATGGGGTTTAACGTCCTACTGTTCTGCTCCGAACTGGGCTAATGAAGATAGGCATACGCCATACAGTGTGCTTTGAAGGAAATTTTGCCCGGACAGCGGCACTACGACCTACTCTTATATCGAATTCCAACTACAATTGTTAGGATAATTCATTTGTGTTTCGACAGTAGAAACTCACATAAAATATACAAAATAAATTGACATTTGTGTAGTTACTGGTTGTTCAAATTTCATTTGTACTTTTTCATACTGATTCCTATCACTGCTATTGTAAAGTGACAAACAGCAGTCAAACTGACTCTGTAGGCCTATTATCAGCAGCATCATGATTATAGTATCAGTAATATTGTAATTACTATTATTATTGGGCCCTGTTGATTTTTCATCAATTGAAAAACAATTTTTAGTGAATTTTGGGAATTGACAATACATTTTGAGAGTTTACATTATACATGTATGTTTAAAAACCATCACATCATTTTCCATCAATAAGCCGAATCTATTCAATAAATTAGTTAAATTGTACATACTGGAGTAACATAGCCTAGAGATAATCCTTTAAATTTTTTTGCATCCTTCTCTGTTTCACAATATGAAGCATGTTCTTTTACTATATCTTTCCATTTAATCTTTTCATTAACTAAATCTCTCTCAATAACAGATGTCTGGGAGAGTTCAGTCTGAAATACAGAAATAATATTAATGAATTGGGGTTTCCATTGAGTCAACACAATAGTCCAGTTATATTAAGGTTAACATGAGTTTAAACCACACTGGTTTGGAACAGCTGTGTTGTAATATTGATCATGAAGTAAAATAAAGTATAAGCTTAATGTAAATTTAAAGATGCCTTGCTACCCTAATGTTTTACATCAAAATGCCTTCCTACTTTCTATGGTCATTTAGTATACTCAATCTGATTAAAATACAGATCTATATTTCGTTGGGGTTTTTTTTTTGGGGGGGGGGATATATACGTTCAATGGCCTCTACTACATGAAAATCTGACCGATTGTAGTGGAAGGTCGCTTCAGAGGTCATACGAGTGGCTTTTGACCTTATGATGTCAGACATTTGTTTAACCAATCAGCATTGATGTTTCTAGTGGGTTACCCACAGTTCTGTGTACTTCACGCAAAAATCGGTCCGTAACAGACCGCTTCATTGGCTAATCCCTCACATCATCCAGAACAACGCTTCCAGATCCTAGTGTAGTAAAGACATGTAAACCGATATTTTGAACTATAAAAAACGAAACGAAATAGGATCTGTGCTTTAATTAGATTGTTAGATACTGGATGGTCAATTCCCTAGCTCTAACCCTAAAATTATATTGATTCTGCAGTTTAAAGGGGCAATGTAGGGTAATGTAGAGCAGGAAAACTTTTTAAATCAACCAACATAGTTAGTACCTTCAGGGCCCGAAAAAAAATCACCAGTTTCATTGAATTTAATGTGTCAGCTGGCTTTGTTGCATCACAATCTGGTTTTGTTCAAAATAGGCAGTCATTCTTTTCAAAATTTGGCTGGTGACATAAGAAAGACTGTCTTTAATTTGTAAAAGTCAAAACTCGACTCCCACTTTGGACCAGGTGATGGATTTTTGGTAAAAGGAGAGTTTTATAACAATAAGAAGTGATTCCTTTCATTCAAAAGACAGAGTATGAGAGTTAGCTTGGACTTGAATTCATTCAACTAGCATACACATTACATGGTTAACTTGACCATTTGTCAGTGTTACAAAATACAGAAATTAAGAGGAGTAATTTTCAGTTGTAAGGTACAGTAAAAGCTCTAAAATAATTTTCCTTGATCAAGATTCAGGTGCTCTGACTGTGTCATAAAAAGACATGACTGAAATGGGGCCAAGGCAGATGGAAAATTTATCTACTTTGGATTTTTATTTCCAATGCTCAGAGACTATGGTGTAGCCTACTGCCATACACAGGACCATAGTTTTTTGTGCCATCCGTATGACTAGATGCTTTTCCATGACAGGCTCCACCATGCACCATGACTTAAAGGAAAACCAGGCTGGGATGAGGACCTTTCTTGACTAACACCCAGGATCTCCTGGCATAGTGAGCTAAGTCTAAAGTGCCATAAGATCATCAAGCCACTGACAATGGCACTTCCATAAAGAGGTTCAAAAACTTTTAAAGCTTTGACAAAACTGATAAACGGACTAATTGTTCTGGGTGTCCTCTGCCCATTATTACGTCTACCTTTATAATAACTACAAAAACAATTTGGAAAAGCGAGGGGTCGGAACAATTCAATTCGACACTTCGTCTTCGATGAATTAGACTAAATAATATTTGGTCAGGTTTGTCACCCAGCTACCTTCTCTTCTACACTTTTCTTTTTCTTGTCACCCTGTCCAAGTGTTGCCTGTGTTGTTGATAATACAACCACGATCACCAGCAAAGCAAAGACATTCTCCATGTTGATCTCGTTTCTACTTTTACTTTACCAAGGGGTGTAACTCTTCTGCTTTTGTTTTTTGGGTGTTTTTTTGTAAACCCGCACAGGAAGTTTTTTTTCTCTCTTTTAGTGTTATTCCAATTTTATGAGCATTCAGCACGTAGTGAATATTCTCAACGGCAGAATATTTCCAAATGCTAGCTGTCACTATGCAAATTTTTTTAGTTTGTCAAGTAATTTGTAAAACAAGAAAAGCGTCGTCTGCAATCCAAATTTAACACGTTGGCCGATTATACACCTTTACTGACTTTTATACTAGAGAGTTACCAAGGGTATTAAATGACACAGGAAAAATAATGACACAGAAAAACTCTCAAATTATTACACTTTCGATTAAATTATAATATCTGATGGACTGGAAGTGAAGTTGATTCAAATTTTGGGTAAAAGACAATATTTATCTGACGGTACAATTTCCTCTTTTTCTAGACATTTTTAGTTATTTCCATAATCGGATCATAAATTCAGTTTTTTTTCTTCAGGTTTTGGGATGCTTTAAGTGTTGCCAAGTCGTGCGGATGGAACAAAAAAAAACCCCAACAAATCTAATGGATTGGAAGAGAATTTGATTCAAATATTGGGTAAAAGACAATATTTATCTTAGGGCACACAATTTCCTCTTTTACTGGGCCTTTTTAGTTATTTTCATACGCACCAAAGAACAATCAGGATTTTTTAAGTGTAGCCAAGTCGTGCGGATGTATCCGTGGCGTGCACGTAAACCATAACCACTCTTTGATTTGGGTCAAAATAAAATTGTTGATTTCATTGATTAATATATTATGGCATTATATAGTTTCATTTCAAGAATTCCCGTCTTCATCATCCCGGTTATAGCAACCCCTATTTCATTTAATTTCATTTTATTTCACTTGTTTCAATAATTCGCTTGTCCGTGTGATCTAAACAATGAGACACCTTATGATCTACTAAAGGGTGTGCGATAGACGAATCGACTCCTTCCCGTCAAGAATATAATTAGCCTATATTATTATTGTCTATCCTGAAAAAAAAAATAACCCAAGGAGATAATCCCTCAATCGGCTTAGAAAAAATAAAAACGACCCAAAGCATTAGTTTACAACTATGGTTGACCTGACCTGAATGGGCACCAACCAAGCAAATTAATCACCAGCGTATTTAAAATCGAAAATGTCCGGAAAAGTCCAAATTTTCCTCGCCAGGGTGCCCCGTTCGGGACCATTGCGGACTAAGCGACTTCATTTCAAAGCATCATACAAGGAACATTTTATCAAAATAGTTTGCAATCAATGGTTCAAGAAAAGAAATCCAAAGTGTTCAAATTTGTCAGATTCAGTGAACATTTTTAGATAAGGAACACACATTTAGAAGGCATGCGCACATCCGAACCCATCTCTACGTCCTGTTGTTATAATAGGCCTGTACTTATGGCGCACATCTTCAGGCCCAAAATTATTCTAGTAAATCTGAATTAACCAGCCGTTCAAGAAAAGAAGTAGAAAATATCAAAATTATCCACAACGTTCGAAAATTGATTCAAAATATATGTGTAGATGAACACCACATTAAGATTCTTTAAAATATAACGGGGGCTCTATAAGCATGCTATCTTCCACAAGAGATTAAATTTGTCGCTCTGGTCATGAGGAAAATCATAGCTACAAGTAGAGATGGGCGGACTAAAGAATTTATGATTTCCTCAACTGCACTTCGTGGCCGGACAAGAAACAATATCTCAACGTTTGTAAATAGATTTATTGCAAAGAAACAATGAAGCCAGTTACATAAATTTATAAAATAAATAAATAACGAATAGAAAATAACGAGTTTAAACTACATGATGCTACATCTGTCTTTATAGCGAGAAATTCGATAGTTTTCTGGTCTCAGTCCGGACCAGAATCCCTGGTTTCGACACTGCGTGACCACGAACTCATCCACTTGAACACCGTGGAAGACCTCCACCTCTGTGAGACTCAGCCGCGACACATTCAAAGGCACGCTGGGTTTTCTAATAGCTGTTTCTACCTCTGGTTTAATAAGATTTATGTCTAAAGGTCCACCAAGATAATTTCTGGTCGCTAATTCTAGATTAACTGCAGGTAATGCTGGAAATAGAAGAATTAAAAGAATTAGAAGCGTCGTCCGGAGATGCGTAACTGTTTTGAAACTACCGGTACTTTTGAGCAGCCTGCTCAATAATTTAACATTATTCTGAACATGGCAAGCTAGTTAACAAATTATAGGGGTGTCGTAGCAGATTATGCTGTTCGACAATCAGTTGTGTTAACGTCAAATGGACGCTAGGCCTACATTGTTCATTTGATTGTTAGACTGCTGATCTTTTTAGCAGTTAGACTACAATATTCCCATACTTTGGCATTCTTTTTTTCCCGAAACCACAAACACCACAAAGAAAACAATTATACAATCTCTCGCTGGTATCCAAAATTACAACTTCCCACAGTGATATTAGTAGTTCCGCTAAAAGTACCCCCACCCTTACGTACACAACCCCGTGTTTTCATTCAGACATGACTTCCAGACGCGAAGTCATTTGGTAGAAAGTAACATCGGGCCAATGACAGCCGCAAAAGTCACCAACCCGGCCAGTTATATAAACCAAAGATACATATAAATTGTTTGAATCAGGGGTTTCGAATCCCCGTTTGTACGTGACAAGGAGTAGGGTCGCCTGTCCAACCTCGTGGGTTTTCTCCGGGTCCTCCGGTTCCCTCCCATTGCTAAAGACCCCTACGCGCAAGCGAATTGTTGAAATAAAAAAATAAAAAACATATGTTAGTCCCGAAATGACCTAGTTTGTTTCGAGTGGACGTTAAACCCCATTTCTCTCTCTCTCTCTTGAATCAGGGGTGGTATCATGTGTTCTAGAAGTAAGAACTCCTGGCAGGCGGAATTGGACGAAGAGTAGGAGGAAACGACACTGTCTGGTCAAAACTCCTCTAACAGCACTTGCATGTCGCCTGCATCACTTCATAGTCCAGTTGATGCAAAAATGTAGGATGCTAAACCCCATTTCATTTGTTCCAGACAAAAACAGTTTGCACATTCTGTACTTGAATCGATATTGGGAATAGTGAACGGTTAATAAACCGCAATAATTGTTCTTTTCCATATTAAATTTCAAACAATATAATTTATTGGAATTTACCTCGCTGGCTTAACAAGAATTGGTAAGCAGGAATAACAGACTGTGGATCCAGTATATGTAATTTAACAAACAACTCGTTCATATCTCTATTGTATTGCGTATCTGTATATTTTCCTTTTATTATTTTTTGCAGGATGTTTCTTGTCCATCTAGGGTCCATGATATCTGCTATGAGTTTTTCCGCCCAGATGTGGCTAAAATAGTTCAATAAATAATAAGTCGGTTAATATTGTAATTGTCATGTTGGTTCTAAGACACAGTTTAGTAAATATAGGATAAACCAGATTGATAAGCAACAATATCCTATCTCATGAAAAATGTTACCAGGCGTTTCAGAAAGAGTATGCCTACATTGCCTTTCAAGCTGTAACTTTATAGCCAATCCTAAAAGGTCATGGTGGCAATAATTGAATGGCCCATCCAATTTAACAGTTGGGCAAAACAGTTGTCGCGATCTGGCTTGTTTTCCGGTTTAGCTAGTGTCCACTGAAACACTATCTGCTGCGTATCTATCTGGTTCGCTGTATGCACACGAAATCTATTTATAATATTCACAAATTGATTTATCATGCTGCTTCGTTTGTTTTAATTTTCTTTATGGACCACTCTGCTCGAACGCGTTTCATCAGCTCAACTGTTTATTATCAGTATCAATATTTTATTTGGTATGGTATAGCTTATTTATTTACATATTGTCTTGTTTATTGATTAGTATTAATATTAGGTCTAGTGACGTCCATTAACTAGGTGATTACATATATCTTACTTGAAAAAATGTCAAGGCGAGATGGAGCGGGCCGAACTGAACCGGGTACCAAGTGACACCGCGATGCTGGAATAGATTGACGAAGTGAAATTCAAAGACATTAGAATCGGGCGATATTCAAATCCACCTTATCTCCCTCACGTCATGGGAAATTTCTACTAATCAAATAATAATAGTAGTTTTATATTTCAATAGCAGATGAATTCTTTTCAGAATTTGGGTGGCAATTTTCACTTTCGATGACAAATGGTCAGATTTCAGAATTTACAAACGTATATGAAATGAATCAGTCTGATTAAAATATAGATCTATATTTCGTTTCGTTTTTTTTATACTTTCGATGACCTACACTATAATAAAGTCAAGTAAAACGAAATTTTGAACTATAAAAAACGAAACGAAATAAGATCTGTGTTTTAATCAGGTTGGAAATGAATGAAACGCTTCGAAAAATACCCACACACCTTTCATCATCTAGATAATCGTTTATAGTCAACCCAGTCTTTGGATCTTTTACTGTTTCCGGATACACCAACGTATACAAGGAGAATCCTGAAAACAAAAATTACAACTTCAAGATGCCATAAAAATCAACGGTATTTGAATAATATTGTATGCAAACTGTGAGAAAATTTGATAATCCTGCAATCTTTTGTAGTTTAAAAATTGGTGGTGGAAAATAATTTGATCTGTAATTTTATTTATAATAACCACCGCCGTCTGTAACCCGGAATTCCGGGCATTTAAAAATTTATGTCACGTCATCATCCAAATGTATAAATAATGAATTACACCAATTATAGCTGATGTTATACATATGTATACAATTTCACACACCCCGTCTTCTTTGTATTATATATTATTATTGGCATACTTATTCATCAAGGAAGTTACTCAAATATCTATTTCATTTTTACACACGTGATGGCGTTAAGGAACATAAAAGGTCTGACTGTTCATTCGTGCTGACCAGTTAATTAGATGTTACGATAGAAATAGAATATGTTAATACAACTGTCGTAATGCTAGGTTCCCAATCAAGATTCGAACTAGGAAAACGCGTTTGCGTTCGTCAAATTTTCCAAATTCTCTTGGCCGAGAGGGGTGGGGTGTGTTCAGCGCGGTAAGTTCCGCTCCTTCGCCTCTCGCAGACGACCGGCGCCGACGTCTGTAACCCGAAATATTTTCGGGCATTTTAGGTTCTGCCCCCCCCCCCCGCCCCAACATATTCATTCGAACGACTAGACGCTGTCGTTGCCAGGTCCCCAATCCTGCACCAGATGCAATGGGAAACCATGTTGGAAAATCCCCGAGAATTTTTCTCTCTTCCAACGCCGGGTCGAACCCCGGACCTCCTGGTTAACGAGCAAGCGCCTTATTCACTGAGTCACCGCGGCTCCTGAGAAAAAAAACTGTTTTGGATATGGTTGTGAATAAATGATTACTTTACAAATATTACCACAAACAAAAAGATTCCTAATTTTTGCCGTGTTGTCCTTTAGTTTAAGGTTCAGTATCTTACCTAATTTTTTCCACTGTAAACCGTAATAAATGTCTCTTAAAAAGTCTTCCGTTGCCGTTTTATTGATAGTTGTATGAAACTTATATTCATCCTTCACTTTTGATATAGTCTGTGAAATATAGGCGGTTCCATATTTTAACAGGGGAAATGTCCCCATGTCGGCAATGTCCCGATACGATCCAGAGTTTTCTAATGGAAAGAAAACCTCGTGGAATCTTGACTCAGTCTTGATATAGTTTAACAGTACATTTCTTGCCGCCGTTGACACAAGGTCTTCCCCACGTGCGTTGAAAGGCGATAATGTTTGAAGGATTTCTAATGTTCTTTTGTCCGCCATTATGAGAGTTGATATTCGGATTTTCGAACTTTTAAAAATTCGAATATGGATTCACATTATTGTTTCTCATAAGTGCTTCTGTGAATCTACAAGGAATGTGATTTTCTGAAAGAAAAAAAAAGAAGAGAAAACTATTATTTATTATGCCATTGATAGCTTTTTGTCAACTTTAAAACACCGAATCACCCTCGAAAACGCATTTAGTGGTAAATATTAAGGTAGTTTTTAATCTAACTATATTCAATAATGATATCTATTTTTAATCACGTGATATGACATGTTTCTATTACCTTGGACACAAAACGAATATTAATACAAAATAACGTAAAAACACTACTAAATGTAATTAAAATTTAGACTTGTAAACCATTCAGCTGAAACAGATAAATTAATTTTAACACATGGCCTATGTTCACAAATACACATGTTTACCCATGCTTACCTTAAATAGGCTTATGCGAAAAATGGCAGATGTATTATGAATTGGGATTGAGAGGAGATAATTGAACCATTATCATAATAAAATATATGGGACTGGCTATGTTAAAATGTCAGTCGAATTATATATGATATTTACAAGTGGGTTGTAGACAGGAAAGCGACATAGTAAATATGGGAATAGAGTTTAACAACACAATACGCTCGTCATTTTCAAACTTTATATAACAGACCTTTTTTTTATAAAAACAAAAAATCGGTATTGTCTACAAATTTTTAATTAATTTTTTTTTTGTTCTGACATAGTCAGCGTTTTATCTTATAATTTATGAATTCCATCTATCATGTGAAAGTTTGATGGGGTAAAGAAAGCAGACTAATGTAAATGAGATTTTAATTTCGTTTCATTTATTCTGTTCTTATTTGCGCTATACATTGTATGAATGGATGAATGAAAATGGGTTTAGTATCAGAATTTTCGACACCAAACGGCCGGGCTATTGAGGACGGGCATACACCATGCAGTGTGCTATGGAGGTTATTTTGTCCGGACAGCAAGGGAATCGATCTATCATTGGTCTCTTTACGTGTACGCCAACGTGTACATAGGACCTCAGTTTTTCGTCCCATCTGAACGACTAGACACTGTTCCTTTCCAGGCCCTCCGTCCTGCACCAGTGATAAGGGGAAACCACGCTGGAATATCCCGCGGAACTTTAGAAGGGATGTCGACATATGTAAATTAGATAATGTAATGAACTTACCTTATAAAAAAATTAAATCTCCATCGGCGATATTTTAGTTCTTTTTGGATCCAATTAATCTAGAAATGTTCCACCATATCAACAAATTTGCTCTGTCCTTTTGCCGATGGTTAACTTATATTTTATCCATCAAAACATAACGTGCTAGTTTTAACAGTTGGTCCAGAGGTGATAAAAGTTAACGCAATAAATATATTTTATCTACAGAGCATCCTAAATACTTCACTACATAAATGTAGAATCTCATTCTTCGAAAACATTAAAAATTATAAAGTGTCTTGCTCGTCATGCTCCACCCAAAACGCTAACTGAACTCCGATAATCCTCTTCCAAACGTTTGTACTTGTATAATTAAAACATAAATAAAAGTTGAACTCACTCCAATATAAAAAATGTACGTAAAATAAAAGTTCAATAAGCCAAAGTATACACGATTTGATGGTCTATCAAACATACAGTCACAAATTGCTTAGTTCACTGTGTTCAAAATCTTCGTCCATAATATATATGATCCCCTGAAAACCTCATCACATAACAACGCGTCATAATATAGTTGTTTATGACCCAATTAAAACGGATCGGCATGCACTTGTCACGTGGTGCAAAAAAATAGACAAAACATATCCAAAAAGCCTTTAACCCCAACAATAAAACTTTACAGTCAGAGCGTGTCGACTCAATCAATTAGAACTGATGCGATTACGGCTCACGCATGATAGGCCGATACTAATATACTGTTCGTTTTGTTTAGACCTGAGGCCAAATTGCATGGGGCAATCAATTTTTTGTGTTTTTAAAAGGAAAAACGTTATTTAGAAAATATGACTTTTAGGGAGAGTTGTAATTAACACAGTAGCACGCGTGACGGGTATTCTGTAAAGAGAAAGGGGCGCTTTATTTCTGCTGAAATTAACCACTGTGCCAAACCATTTAGTCGGAAAATCAATTTCCATATCCCAAGGCGTGCACGTTTTAAAGAACCTTTTTATGGTTAAAATTAAGGTTAAAACACTCGCCTGTGCATTATAACTTTATCATAGTATTGCTTTCAACAGCACTTTGTCAGTAATCGCGTTCCGTTGATCACATACAACACTGAAATTTGAAAAATGTTTCGTATTGGCCTAAAAGCCCAACACGTGGCCAGTGCATTCTTGACCCTTTTCCTAGATAATCTTAGCTAATCCGGATCACTTTAACCGCATAGAGATCAAGGTCATAATCCGATAATCTTAACCATGATAATTAACTCTTCATTTTGGGTCCTAATTAAAATTTGACGGGTGGTCCTAATTGGATGTTGTGCTACTTATATATTTATTAATGGTTACACCATCACATTCATAATTATGACTGTAATGGTAATACTTTGGAAATTTCAATTGATTCCCGATCTTTATTCTTTATTTTAATTAATTCCTGATCTTTATTCTTCATTATTTTAATTAATTCCTGATCTTTATTCATGATTTTGCTAAAATAGACTTATTTCCAAATTAAGACCTGCGCACCAAGGCTTATTTGTCATTAATTCTCAGAACAGGAGATCGTTTTTGGACAAGGAAATGGAACGACGCCCTTCGAAAAAAAGCCTAAGACTCTACCGATCCATGCCCAATCCTTGGACAACTGCGCATCGCTTTACGGACTTCGATTTTTGATGTCACAATACCACGATGGTTGCAATGATGTCACACTCAGTTCTCTTTCCATAGTGCGATATGGTACTTGTGTTTAAAAGGGCATATTATTTCCTCTACAGTGCTCGGAACGAGATGAATCTTTTTTAAAAATTGATCTTACCCGCTAGACCATAAAATACTAACAGGAAAAAGACTCGTTTGAAATTCTAATTGACTGATTTCTATATTTCATGCATTTTAAGGAGTAGGCCTATTTGATGGTTAGGTAATGAGATGCATTAGTTAACACCCCGTTTGAGATTCTAATTGACTGATTTCTATATTTCGCTATGTTTCGTGCATTTTAAGGAATAGGCCTATTTGATGGTTAGCAGAATACTTCGGTAATAAAGATTTGTATTTCTATGATAATATTATATGCTGTAGCCTACTATGGGGGAATTTTCCAGGAAAGCGGCAATTCTGCCTTATATTCTTTCAATGTTGTTATTGTTGCCTACATAATCAATGTCAACGTCGTGGGCCATACTGTGGTCTATAAATCCGGTTACATTAAAAGCTGCAAGGAACACCGTCTAATCGTTCGATGATAACGTAAAACAGACGTCCCGTTTACACGTCGGCATGCACGTAAAAGAACCATTAAACAGTTTGAATTCAAAATAAGAGTAGCGCTAGCAATGGCGTATGCCCATCTTATTTACCTCAGTTGGTGCAAAAACGTAGAACTTTAAAACCCTATTTCCTTTATATTAAAAGCTATTATTTATTATATATATATATATATATTAACACAACTAACGGCTCTTGTATACCTTTGATGGTGCGAATAAACCTAAAAAGCAAATAAGCGGTTATCCCCCCCCTGACGCATCAATAGATCAGAAAAAGAAGGCGTCATTAATTTTGCTACCAGATAATTTTACAGAAAATACTCGATTTAGAATTATTGATATATTAAACAATCCATGGACAATATCCCCACCAATAACTTTTTTGCCAGTTACATTTGAGAGCATATATTTTGTGCTTTGAGACAATTAATATCAAATGAGTTATAATACGGATATGGATTTACGGTGGAGGGGGAACTTTACGGTACTGATGTGTCAAGGGAGACAACCAACTTATGTATTTCTGCTGTCAGTCCACTAATTATTTAGAGAGTTATTTATTGATAAAATCTTTCTCTTCCCTTTTTCATTTTGTTTACTTTTTGGTCAAGAATTTTAATTTTGAGGCAGAAGGATCCAGGTGTTTGAAGATGCATTATGCTAAATATGCAAATTGCATTTTTTTCTGGCTTCAAATGTTATATACATGTAAATTATTATTCTAGACATTTATTCACATGATAGGTCCATAATCTAGACTATAACTCAGTTGTAACAGATGGTAGACATGATAAGGGAGCTGTCATATTGAATAGTCAATGCTAGAGCGACTTGGGTCATTTGCTGTTTGGGCTTTGGAGGTGGGGGTGGGGGAAGTTAATATTTGCATGTTTTAATCCCTTTCTGTTCATTTCTACACATTTCTCTTTTTTTATTTAATAAAATAAGACTTGTTTAATGTGGAATGATAAAATTTATTCATTCTTCATGTATGTTAAATCAGATCACAATAAAAATATGTATTTGAAATGGTTCAATCAAGTATGAAATGGTTTAACACACTATTACACATACTTATGAAAAAACCCAAACAATCACTAATTTATTTGGGTTATGTTTCAAAGAGTACTTGCTTGAAAACATTGAAAGAATACTCCTTGAAACAAGGCCTAAATAAATAAGTAATTCTTCTTCCATAAGTATGTATAATAGTGCATTGCTCAATACATTTACTAAATGTTTCTAAGGATTATCAAACAGTTTCTTCTTGAGAATAAACTTAAATTGACATTTTGTGCATTTGCATTTGAAAAATATTGAGATATTTAGATGAAATAAATAATATTATACAATTAAAACATTATCACAGCCTATACAATTAAATATACATTAAAAACATTTAAATTAATACAATTAAAAATACACAATAATAATCTAATACTGAGGATTCATCTCTAGCTGTAAAACTCGCGTGGGTGGAATTTCTAATTCTGTGTTCACCTGAAAAATAAAATATTTAAAATTTCATTGAAAATTTATACAACACAAACTTCTTAAAGATGGGTTCCCAGAAAAGTATTTATCGGGTGGTTATTTCCAATAAAAGTATGGCAATTTTGGTATATATGGAAAGTAGAGATATCCAATCTTACTAGAAAAATACTGGATTCCCCGAAAAACACTCATGGAGCGTATACAGGACAAAAATGTAAGGGTTCCCCTAATCAACAGCCCGACGATTATGACCTTCTGCACGCACGATGTCAAAGGTCACAAGCGAACATTGAGCGCTTGATGTACAAGTTGATAAACTTTATGAAGAGTTAGACGTACAATACTTTCTGAGATAAAAATGACGGAAAAAGACGCGGGTAGTGGATAATCCGAGAATTTAATTAGGATTTGATATTTGTAATAAATAGTAAGCGATTAAAGACAACATCGTCTTATGTATGCAATGATTTCTCCTCTGACTCCCAAGACGTGACGTAAACATGACCTGGTTTGATCGAATTTTAATAGCAGGGCATTCCTTCGCAATTACAATGTTTGAGAAGGATTTAATTAGGATTTGATATTTGTAATAAATAGTAAGCGATTAAAGACAACATCGTCTTATGTATGCAATGATTTCTCCTCTGACTCCCAAGACGTGACGTAAACATGACCTGGTTTGATCGAATTTTAATAGCAGGGCATTCCTTCGCAATTACAATGTTTGAGAAGGATTTGAAGCATAATTATGACAAATTAATTAGTTTGAATATGTTTTTGGTCCATATATACCATTAAATCACCCAGTTTGTACGCGGGAACCCATCTTTAATCTGAGCTTTAATGCTAATTTATCTCTTTCTTATTTTTTAGTACTTTATGGAAGGAATGGCAGGTTATGTCTTTAAAATCCCAATATTCCGGACTAAATAATATATAATAGGTCAAGCCTAACATACATTTTTGTCTATGATTTCATGCCACCACCCTTTTTTGGTCATAATCATATACTGGCCATTTCAATCCATGAACATCAAGACCAAGATGGTATCTAATGCGTTTTTTTTTTTTCAATTGTTCATCGAACACTTTTCAGATCTTATTTTTGTTATATTTAAAGGAAAACAGGTATTGGTTTTCTGTAACATGTGTCTATGACAACGTAATGAAATCAAAACATACTTGATGACTTACCTTAGAATTAACATACTGATGTAATAACATTCTTAGTTCAGCATTCTGTTGTCTCAATGCATCAGTTTCATTAATTAAATTACTTCGACTCTGTAAACATTCACTGTAAAATATAATAAACAAACAAATCATGTAACCAGTCACTGTAAAATATAATAAACAAACACATCATGTAACCAGTCACTGTAAAATATAATAAACAAACAAATCATATAACCATTCACTGTAAAATATGATCAGTCGCTCAAATAACTAGAACTTTTATCGTCATTCTGCACACAGAGAACTAACTACTTCGAGAAGAGATCCCTGCCTGAATGTCCACCATATCTAAAAATAAGTATACTATTTTGTAATATGGTTTTACTTTACTCCGGTTCACATCTGTTATACTCACAAAGACTAAATAAACATTTTCTATTTTATTAAATGGAAGTGAAATAAATTTTTCTCACAATTCGCGAAGTATACTTCGTCGATTTAGGAATTAAAATCTCAGTCAACAAGCTTGTTCTAGACAGACAGTGTTAGTTTAGTATGTTTTAAATGTGACTTTACACCATTTACAGCTGTCCTGATTGTAAGCAGACTGTGTTTAAATGGCTGTGTAGTTGAAACTCTGGCAAACTCCTTGTGAAACTTCAAACACATTCAGTTTTGTTAGCGCCAGCTGAAACTAACTCCACTGTGACTACAAGGAATATTGGTCGGCACAAAACAAAGTCAATCGTAACAGTTAGTTTCATCCACCATTTAACAAAGCATTCTGCATACTTCCATCAACCTCTCGACAATGACCTTTGAGTTGACACTATATAGCCAAATCAGATTATTTCATCCAGCCCAACATTTGTTGTTGCTGAAGCAGAGAGAAATTTGTTTAAACCTTTGTACTGATAGATATGCCATACACAACCAATACAAATGCCTAAAAAGATCAACACACACCTGTATTTTTCAAGGCCCTCAACCAAACCATCCCAAACTCTTTCTTTTACACCACTATGAGTATTGGTATATTTCGCCCAATATTCAGAATCTTCCGATGGATCTCTATATTCTAGAGTAGCAATACGGAACTGTGATTTGTGACCCTTTTCTCTGAAAATATAACAGGTAAAAGTTAACAAAAAATATAAAACAGCAATGGTCAATGAGATACAGAAATAAAAGGAAAGGTATGTAACAGAACCAGGTTTAAAGCCCCAATATGCACAAACAAATGTAATTATGACCATTTAAAGTTTACATAGGTTTCTACCGATTTCACACTGCCTTCTTGGTGTATCTTAGATAGTAAAGCAATAATAACTGTGCTCTCTTTTTATTCAATAACTATGAGATATATGTAAATATTCTGGTTCAGTGTGCCATAAACATTTTAAGACAAAAATAAGGTTACATTTATTTACTACGGTCATGGCGGCAATGCCAAGGAGAAGAATTTGACCAGAGAGCAGCATTTCAGAATGACTGGACACACTTTACATGTGAGCCCTGCAAGCCCAGATGAACGGATATTTAAACGTACATTATGCAAGAGCTAAATCTGCCTATTGCAGGTCTTTCTTTAGGCCTGAAATGTTATCTAAATTATTAATTAGACATTAATAAACTTATCCACTCCATAATCAACTCTCGATGTCCTCGTTAGCCTGAGATATTTACTGGATTAGGATCCAATTTGCTGCTCAACTTTCATTCATGATTAAATCATGCAATGGATAATCAAGACTATGTTTTTTATCGTACCGAATTTAGTAATGATGATCGAGGCTAGGCCGAAAATTTGATCGCTAAATTCTTGGTTCAGAGTGGATCAATTTGACTGAAATTTTCAGCAAATTCCCTTTACATTATATAGTTTTTAACTTTATAGTGAGAAATGCCAGCTCTTCTATTCTCCCATAATGTATCTTTAAGTAAAATTTGGGTTGAGCGAAAAACAAAAGGCTTGAGGTTTGTCTAGATCTATCTACAGCAAAAGTTTTTCATACTTGGTAGGTTTTTTGTGATCATCGACAAATGCCCGAAGTGCTTTCAGAACTTCGTTAGGATGAATCAGATGAACCGAATCTTTTGTCGTCTTCTCGCGAGGAGGCTCATCGTCTACACCACCACCCGTTAACTCCTGTATCTCTGCATCTACATCTTCTACCTGCAATAGAATGGAATTGAATTTATAAAACTGCAGAAATAAAAACAACTTGATCAATTTTCTTACACCCTCTTTATACCACAGCTTTCACTTCCAAATTTTCCCAGTCCGTCAACTTTTCATACATTTTTATTATCTTGGATAAGCTAGATACTTTTTAAAAAAAAAAAATATTATTATTATTTATTATTATTACAGCATATTTACAGTGCACCCTTTCATATAATATGTTCAGGGGCACTTTACAAAGTGACAATGTAATCATAAATAAACAACAAGATTATGGACATGTTAACGATTGTATACAGAGTCAGTTAAAAGCCTGATTAAATAAATGTGTTTTAAGTTGTTTTTTACAAGAATATAGAGATGTACAACATCTGAAACTAAATGGTAGATTATTCCATAAAACAGGTGCTTGATAACTAAAAGAGCACTGACTATAAGAGACTAATTTGATTGACAGGTAAGTTCTCCTATCTGCCAGTTAGTCAAAACTGACAAATATGAATGAATTGAAAGACGTAGTAACAAACTGATCAGCAGTAAATTACTGCTTGGCCGATACTATCATTGAGAGGGATGACATCAGGGCGAATTAATTAGTTCTCAGTATTATCCTTTTTTTTTCTAAAACAATTTTTTAAATTATTAAGAAATAAATTAAAGGTGTTGGAAGTATATCTGGATAATAAATATATCATAAATGGGTACATAAAATAATATTTGAAGGCGTAAAAAGAGTAAAAGGCACCAATTCTGCTCGGAGCAGTTTGTGTTACTACGCATGTGTTATGATGTGACGTCACACATAGACCTATGCTGCAGGTGAACTTAAAGGTCGGTCATCTTGCACAGAGTTAAAATAAGGCTTTCAATTAATGCTGTGAAACAAATTGCTCTAGTATAGCACTATGACAGCGAGTTAATTACAAACAGACAATGAAAATATAAAATAAAACAATTGAAAAAATAATTTACTGTGTACCGAGTCAAACTACAACTTTATAGTAGCTCCTGATCTGACAAAGGACATTCTTTAAATTATTTCTAAAATTAAATGATTAGACCTACCCCTTCTGTTGATGTTTTCTCCAATTCATCTTTTTCTGTGCCTTCATCTTTCTGAATACAAAAATAGTTATATTTATTTAAGAGGCATTATCAATTTTAACAAGAAAATTGATGTAACTATTTTATATTTATATATATCATACTCAAAACAAATGTTAACAGTTTGCCTGCTATAAATACTTTTTAAAACCACAATTATACAACTCGTAATGAATCTTGAATTGTATGCATCTCAATAACATATCTCAACATTTTTATTCTAACCAGATGACTCCTCCCCTCCACTATTTTTATCACATAGCCTCTCCCCTACCTTATTTTTAACTCATAGCCCCTTCCCTACCTTATTTTTATCACATAGCCCTTTCACTACCTTATTTTTATCACATAGCCTACCTTATTAGATAGCCCCCCCCCCCCCATGTTAGATTGCTTCCTGTACCTACTTTATTTTCTTCAGCAGCTCTCTCCATTCTTTCTATAAGATGCATGAAGTAAGTTGTTAATTTGTGTATATCTTCTTCTGTTTCAACTCCTAGAGCCTGAAAGCAAGAAATACTATTTTAACACAATATTGAGATTAACATATTGGTATGTTTATCTACCATGGTTACCGGTATGTCAGCAATACTAGGGATGAATTTTGAATGAACGGTGATGCTTCCAGCTAATTTCCTTCACAAAAACTGATTATATGACTGGGTTAAGAAAGACAGCGGTGTACACAGGACCTCAGTTTTTGTCCCATCCAAACAACTATACATCTACACTGTCCCTTGCTAGGCCCTCTGTCCTGCACCACTGACAAGGGGGAACAAAACCAGAAATCCCAGATGGACTTTCTAGGCCAACACCGGGATCCAACACAGGTCCTCCAGGATAGCGAGCCAACATCTTATTTGCTTAGCACCCACGACCCACAAAGGTAAATACACCATTCCTCTATATTTTGGCACTTAAATTTCATACGTGCACAGACTTTTATTTCTGAGTCTCTGTTAAAATCGGGATGGTCCCTTTAATAACTTACAGTAAATATGGCATCAAGTTTCATCAGTGATTGTTCATCTTTTTCTAATGGTTGCAGAAGTTTCTCTAATTTCTTTTCCACTAAAAATCCCTGGAAAATAAGAAAAAGTTGAAAATACAAATCTGCTTGAGGTTATGGTTGGCAGGGTATGGTTCTTTTGAAAATGTTATGTGTCTTCAAAATGGTGAAGGAAGTAATGACAATTAAATTCTCGTCATTCCAAGGCTAATAACTTATGGTAAATATTTAGACATGGTTGTCCAGACACCTGGGTTTTTCTGGAATTTGAGAATTTGTTGCAAGCCACATAAGGAAACTGAAAGTTTTTATTTATATGAAAAAATACTGCAGAGATCTAGACCGTTCTACTTTTAGCTGTAAGAGTTTCTCCGTGGACATTATAAGGCCCATGGTTTCTCACACACAATGAGTTTTACTCACTAAAATAGATCTTTAAGGCATAGTGTGGGTTTTAATTTTGAATAAAACTTTGATCGAAAGTCCAATTTAAAATATCAATTTTATTCTAAAAATATCATAGGGCAATATGGGAGACATTTTCTGAGTTGAAGTAGGCCTACACTAAACTGTTTAGCAATACCACACGTTTTTATTGTAAGTTATTCTGTAGTATATCGGTGTAAAATTACCATAATATATATTTATTCATAAAATTAACCACTTCTCACCCATGCCATTACAAAACATGTATAGAAGACAACTGCAAGCTATACCATGACAAGTCCACGGCTATATGCACAAATGTAACTCATTACTATTTATATATTTAAAGGTCATGAATATTCATGTTAATATCTGTACTCACTGATTCATCACACAGTAGCTCTAGAACACTTTTAACAGTATGTGCTGAGATTTTAGTAAATATGTTTGTTCTTTGTTTATCATCATTTCCTCCTTCTTCTCCTACTTCTTCTATAGCTTGACTTCCTGTAATAAAATATAGTCATCTTTAGACACGACTTGTTGACAATCTAAACAATATGCTACATAATATAGTCACAAAATTATCAAGAAATATTTTTTCTGAAGCCTGTGAATATTAAAGGGAATGAAATCTGGGTTCCTTGTCCATTTTGTATCTTTATGGTTTGTTGTCTTCTGGAAAAAGCACCTTGTGTTAATATGTTCAATTAAGGGGAGGCACTGCTCGACAAATATGAATTTTAAAATAACTGGCTTCTAATAATGCTATCAACTTAAAATTTTCAGGAATTGTTCACATCGACAAAATAGGCTAATCGGCAGTTTTGGGGGAATCTGCTTTACTGGTTACCATGGAAACAAAAAAAATCATTTTTACTGCTTAAAAAAAATTGTTCTCTGAAAGTATCAAAAGTAGAAGCCTGGAACTTTTTTTAAAATGTTCCTAGGACATTTCTCTGTGTCCTTACATGTCATTCTATTCAACAAAACAAAAATTATGAAAAATGAGAGATTTCAAATGCCAATTTACTACACTAAAAATTCATTTAGAGTACTGAAAATCCTTATTTGCATGGAACTAACATTACTTAAGTATGTGTGTAAGTTTCAGACATATCTGTTGTAAACTTTTCAAGAACGATTTTTTGTAAGGTTGTCGACTGTTGATATTTTACTTTTTGAGAAATTAAGACATAAAGAGGTAAAACAGCAAAATTTGAATTGCAAGAGTGTTCAAAAGTGCATTTTTTCTATCATAAACCACTTTATATGTATTTTCTTTAATTACAAGTGAAATAAAAATGAATGAACATCACAAATATGCAAATATAAAAAATCGATAATTTGAGTCAAAATTGACATTTGTCGACCCTTGCCTCCCCTTAATAAAAGCTTATCAAAGAAGTGTTCATCTTTTGTTTGTTGATGTCTTGGTGTGCATTATTTAAAATATACTCTTGCAGTATTGTCGGTTGACATTGACGTCGACGAACACGTCTCACGATCAAATTAAACGTAACACACTAAAACAAAGTTACGCTAAACAGTAAACCGTATGCAAGAACCGATAGGAAAGCAAACATGGATAGGATTAACCAGCATTGGGCAGTTTTGATCAATCCTTCCTTGAGGTGTCAAATTTGACAATGAACCCCCCCCCCCACGTGTATGGAGCTATTGCGTGTCGCATGTGCAGCTCAGTGGTTCTGTTGGGGCGATTAGTTCTTCATCTGTGAACATACTCTTAAAGCATGTCAAGTGTCCATGACTATTTATCATATCACAACCTGCATAGGTATTTGCATTTCAATATCCCCTACTTTTTTTGAAGAGTGTATATTTTGCTCCCGATGTTGGCTGAGAAAGTTGCTCGGGATTAATTTTCCAAAGCTTTTTACCCTAGTCAATCGTGTCAGTGTCTAGTAATTTGGGTGGTATGAAAACAAAGAACCCTTGACTTTTGGAATTTGAAATAAGATTAGGCTGACGCACCACTGCCTGGGCAAAATATCGCGCCTAGAACACTTTTAGATGTCAGTCCACCTTCATTAGACCAGTCAGTACAGAAGAATAGAATGTTAAATCCTATTTCATTTCCTTTGCCAGAATGCTAGAGAAGCAATGAAACTTACCAGCCTGTGACATGACTTCATGTAAAACTTGTGTTGCTGATACTCCACTCTTTGTTTCTTCATGGATTCTTAATGGTCCTACATTCTCTACAAAACCTCTAGAAAAATAAACAATATTATTCCTTTATAATTTAAAAGTAGGACGGTCGGGCAGTCAAGTGGTCTAATGCGTTTGCTTTAGATCATAACGTTTGTCATAGAGTCAAGATGTGTGGTTTCGGCCCTAAGCTTGTAAGTTTAGTAGGTTCACTTGCCCAAACTCGTAGGTTTTCTTCGGTTTCCTCCCATTGCTAAAGACCCCTTTAGAAGGTTCATGCTAAACAAATGACCATACACACTTTCTCTGTCTGGTGAGCATCATGCCTGCATGACTTGAAAAATCCTGAAGGTTCTTATTGGCCCAAGAGAGAGAGGGAGAGAGAGAGAGTTTAACCTACACTCGACACAAACTAGGTCATTTCGGGACTGACATGTTTTTTTTCCATAATTCGCTTGCACGTAGGGGTCTTTAGCAGTGGGAGGAAATTGGAGGACCCGGAGAAAATCCACGAGGCTGGACAGGCGACCCTACTCCTTGTCATGTACAAGTGGGGAATTGAAACCACACCACTTGACTCAATGAGAGACCATATAATGCAACGTGCATGCGTTAACGATTCGGCCACCCTCGGTGATTAAAATGCTGGCTGGCTAATCAGGAGGTCTTGAGTTTGCTCCCTGTGTTGGCTGAGAATGTTTCTTGGTATTTTCCTATGGACAGAGGGCTGACAAGGAGCAGTGTATAGTCATTCGGATAGTACGACAAACCAAGGTCCCATGTACACATTTGTGTGCACCATTAAAATTTGATGTAAGAGTTGGCCATAGCGCCGCAGTCCAGGCAAAATTATTACGGTTTATGCCCGTCTTCGTTAGTCCAGATGGTACAGGAAAGTAGGACTTAAGCCCCATTTAACTTCATTTATAAACTATAAAGAACTTACAAGTCTGGCGATTCCCACTGTAGACCTAATTGTTGTTCATGTACAACTGTATCACATTGTAATATAGAGTTTAATATTTCTTTACATTCTTCTTCATTCATACACCAAACATCCGCAAACTTCTTTGCGTCTGTTGCCATAAAATGTCTGTAATAAAATAAATTGAATGATAAAAGTAAAAACATCTTCAAAATGAAAGGATATATTATTTTGCCAAAATAATTCCATATTTTTTCATATGGCTAGGGTATTTATAGTGTTACCTATTAGAAAATGCACTCCGAAATTTGAGCGCCAAAATATAGCGGAATGGTGTATTTACCTTGTCTCAAAATTTCAGCTCAAAATATTGAGTCGTTTCTACGTGAAGGTCAAAAATGTTTATCCGGACACGTAACCCTTTTAAGATTTCAGGTCTATTTTTTCACTGGGTCACCTGATAATCAATTCCCGTTCCTATACAGTAAATGACCCATGTGCTGTACTTGATAACAAAAGGTAAATTTCACCTACACATTATTTTTATAAAATAAATCTGTTTTATCCAGACACCGCATTTTACAGCTTGGGACACCGGTATCCATTTCCAGATGAAGATGGGCGGGTTTAAATTGTTTGAAAACATATCACAAATATTGAGTTAGTAGAGGATTTTAAGGGATTTTAACACAAAATTAAGCAGTTTTATTCTCCAAAATATTATCGGGATTGGACCTTTAAATTGTAAATAAATGTAAGGAGAATGTGGCTAAAAACCATCCTTATTTATGAAATGTACTGATAATAAGTCATCCATCAATCAATGTGATTTTATGACATTTTATCAAATTCTTAAAAAATAAAATGCATAGGATTTTGCTCTGTAAACTAGAAACTGTTCGGCAATTCTTATTTAATTTTTATGACATTTCATTGAATTCTGAAAAATCACAAATGGATGGTAGATGTCTGTAAAACAAACTATTTATCTTTGTGGCCTTACTTCGATTTTTTCTGTAAATCTCGAAACTGTTCTGCAATTCTTTTATAATCTTCTGTCAATTGAGAGTTTTCATCTCGGTATTGTTTCTCTTGTTTAGTTAATTTAATTCTTAAACCATTCAATACATCCTGCATTCTGAAATAAATAATGAAATCTGTATTTAAGAGAAGCATTATCACTCCCAAGAACAAACTAAATGTATTTCATTTTAATAATATATTCAAAATAACCACAGATTAGCCAAGATCCATATAAATGGCATGTAATTGGGTTTAACATCCTACTTTTTTTCAACTACCAAGAGATCTTTAACTTTTTGGCAATGGTATACACAGGACCCCACTTTTTTGTCCCATCCAATGACTACATGCATTTCCTTCCTCCATCACCATCAACTGACTGGAAAATCTTGAGGAACATACTGCGACAGCATTGGGACCGAACCGGGGTTAGTCAGTAAGCGTAGGCTACACAACAATTAACTCTACTCTTTATTGGAAAAATTATTTCATTTATTCATATAGTACCTTGTTATTTTTCTTTTCTGTTGAGCTTTAGTGATGGCATTTTCTTCATCTCGTTTTTTAAGAACTTGGAAGTTATATTCTAGTTTTTCCTGGTTTAATTGATAAGTTGCTCTCATTTGTTGTAACTGTTGTTCTAAAATCTGGATAGAAATAAACAAGCTATAAGTAATGATGGTTGTAATGCAGGAGGCCAGGTATGCTATGTCTTTCTAGAAACCCAGGATGTGTGTGTGTGTGTGTGTGGGGGGGGGGAACTGGTTTGCATTTGGGTGGGGGGGGGCTTACAGGTGACTTTTGTTTTGTTTTTGACCGCTCATTAGCCTACTCCCATAATTCCATGCATACCTCACACAGAGTGTGACGAAACAGATCATTATATTATTGGCTAATCCTCCCGCATTAAACAGAACATGGTTCATCTAATAACTCCTCCCAGTTTTACTGTCATACTGACAAATAAAATAAAATGTGATTTATCTATAAGAAACGAAGCAAAATAGAGCCTGTGTTTTAATTATAGGTTGCATGTTAAAAATTGGATAATAACACTTCCGTTTATTTTTTTTTTACAAATCACTAATCAGAAAGGAAAAACATTTTACCTGTACATCAGTTTCTAGTCTGATTTTCACCATGTTGTATTCCTCTGCATCTTGTACCCGTAGATGTTGAAGCATTTGTTCATATTCTTCCACTCGTTTCTCACGATTTTTCATATATTCAATCTCCTTGTCACGACGATACGTCATTCTCTCATCCCATTTTTTCTTCTGTTGTTCTAGAAGTTCATTTCTTTCGGCCACAAAAGCTCTCTGAAAACATGAGATATCCTCCATTATGAAATGTTATCACACAAAACATTCCCGATCTAAAGTTTAAATTTTGTTATAAAATAACTAAATATTCCAGATTAAAACTATCAAAAGAAAGATAAGCTTACATACTTTTAGACCATACACAACAAAACTAGTTTTGCGTAAAAGCATAATGATCTGAAAACTAGTAAAATTTATTCATCTCACATCACGGTCTTTAATACATGTATATTGTAACCATTTGTTAATGTACATAGGATTTTGGTCTTCCATTTCGTTCGAAATGAAATAAAATGAAATGGGGATTAACGTCCTACTGTTCTGCTCTGACTGGGCTAATGAAGACGGGCATATGCCATACAGTGTGTTATGAGGGAAATTTTTCCTGGACAGCGGCACTACAGCCTAGTAAGCTAGTGTCTTACTCACTTAGCCACCATGGCTCGACATTTCTTCCGAACAACTAGACACACTTTCCATGTCAGCTCGGTGCACCAACCCCTTGCAAGTGGGAACCAGTTTTGAAAAATCCTGACAGTTCTTCTCTGCCAACAAATTCCAATTGTGAATTCTGTGTCTTAACCACGCTATCATCTTCTCCCCTCCCCACCCCCCAGAGAACATTAACAGATTCAATTATAATAATTATTATCACAAACCTCATCCTGCTCTAATTCCTCCCTCTGTGCTTTCTTCAGATTTTTTATTTGTTCATTCATTCTTTCTATCATCAAATCTACATCCTCTGCCATCTTTTTTAAATCTTTAACATACAAATCATCTTTATTCTTGAGGTCCTGAAATAATAAGAACAATCTATGAAATAATTGTTACTTTTCTATTAACAAAAATTATTCTTAAATGTTTGATGATGCTTCATGGTTAGCTCCATTCTGGTTAAAACACAGATTCTATTTCGTTACGTTTATATATAGTTCAAAATTTCGTTTTACTTGTCTTTACTACACTTGGATCAGGAAGAGTTGTTATTTAACTCGTGTTCTGAATGGTGTCAGGGATAAGCCAATGAAACGGTCTGTTATGGCGAGCTTTAGGTGTGTTTTTCACGGAACTGTGGGTAATCCACTAGTAACAGCAATGCTGATTGGTTAATTGAATGTCTGACGTCATAGGGTCTAAGTCGGTCTTTTGACCCCTGACGTGACCTATCGCTATAACTTGTCAGATCTTCACGTAGTGTAGGCCATCGAAAGTATAAAAAACCGAAACGAAATATAGATCTGTGTTTTAATCAGATTGGGTTAGCTCCATTCTGCACACAGAGATCAATCTACTTCATACTTCAAGAATAGATCTCTGTCCTGAATGGCCGCCATATCCAAACAATAGTATACTATTTTGCAATACTGTTCTACTACACACAAAGAACAAATAGATCTTTCAATATTATTGAACAGATGCGGAATAAATAAATTTTCGAAGTATACATGTGTTTTCGACTAAAATTGTTGATTTAGGACTTAAAATGTCGGTCAAATAGCTTAGTGCCTGTTCTGAAGGAGAGCTAGCTGTAGATAGGCAACCTAAGTTTAGTATGGGTTAGATCAACGCAAACCATTATAAAACTTAAGGCATCTAGATGTTAATCATTTAAAAATAAAAAAGGAACAGATTTTACTTTGATCATTATAAGACACACATAATAGTAATTTCAAATGGTTATGGTTGTGAATGCAATGAATGTGATGTCTATGTCCGAAAATAAGGCACCTGTCTCAGACAATTTCAGACACAAAGACAAACCCAATCCATATGTGTCTATCATTATGTCTGCCACTGGTTTGTTTTGTTATTTATGTCTTTAAAATGTCAGAGAGAGACAGAAATGGGGTTTAACGTCCACTCGACACAAACTAGGTCATTTTGGGACTAACATATAGTTCAATTTTATTTCCATAATTAGCTTGCGCGTAGGGGTCTTTAGCAGTGGGAGGAAACCGGAGGACCCAGAGATAACCCACGAGGTTGGACAGGCGACATTACTCCTTGTCACGTACAACCGGGAATTCGAAACCACGCCAGTTGACTCAATGACAGACTTTATGATACAGCGCGCACGTGCTAACCATTCAGCCATCCAACCCCCCTTAAAATGTCAGACTAGTTCAGTTCATTAGTGCCAGGTAACCTACAACTAAAATCTGTATTTTGAGGTCTAGTGATGTTGGTAAGTGTGTTGCCATAATAACAGTCATGTTTCTATCTACATATCTATGTTGTATCATGGGAATTTTATGGGCACTGCCAATTTGTATGTTGATCATCTGAACTAAACACAAACAATGGCCCGTCTCCTCAAACTACAACTTATTTCGTGCCCTAGCCACAAATACATTACTACCCCTGACAAGTAAATCAAATATTTACCAATTGAAAGTCGTTGATTAGTTTATTTTTTTCATCAATCATGGAATCACAAGATGTTTTCTGCTGCATTAACATTTCGTGGAGGGATTGTGGAACTTCTTTCTGTAAAGCTGACTCCCATTTTTTGGTGATCTAAAAAAGAGAAATAATCATCATAAAGGGATTGGTTAACAGGTTTCCATAGGTTTTTCATACCAAATTATCCAGTTTCATTCATTAAAATGAAACTAGCATGGATGGCTTGCGCATAGGGGTCTTTAGCAATGGGAAGAAACTGGAGGACCCGGAGAAAACCCAAGAGGTTGGACAGGCGACCATACTACTTGTCACGTACAACCAGGGAATCAGGAATTGAAACCAAGCCAGTTGACTGAATGATTTATAAGACCTTACCATTCAAATAAACAGTGATACAATCAGAAAGGGTGTTTGAGCTTAGAGCCATAAGATTAACTACATACATTCATTTATAAATTTCAACATTATGAATTAATATAATTATTTGAAAGTTTACCTCCTCAAATCTCTCAGCACCTGATTTAGCTTCTTGTTCTAATCTTTCTCTCCTACATATAAAAAAAAAAAATAAAACATAAATTGAGAGAAAAACTCAAAGCTCAACATGCCAGAATATAAAGATTAAATACAGGGTTATATATCACACCCAATCAAAAATACTTTTAGAAAAAAAAAAATCAGTTTTTGTCCAAAATTCATTTATATCGATCTAACATAAAAGTTTGGGCCATGATAAGTCTCCAATATTTTCTACTGATTTCACACCAAGATTTTTTTATCTCTCTTAAAACATAGACAAACATAGTACTAACAACTGTTTTCTCTTTTTCGTACTCAGATATGCTTGATTACATTAAAAATAAAATTCTTTACATTGAAATAGTATATATTTTGAACAAGTAATATGTTAAATCCCATAAAATATTGTGTATACGTGTAATGTTATAAACTATAGCTAGATGTAATTTCCACAGATTAGAAATTAATTTTAATAGAAAGCTGTGGTATATGTGACATGATAAAATCGAAGGTTAGAACTATATATTCAATATTTTGACATATAACCAGTATTTCTTGCAGAACTTTCCAGAAACAATTAAGGGCAGTCAGAGCAAAGAAATTTCTTTCATATATGTATATTTTTCAAAATACTTACCGTAATCGTTTAGATTCCTCTTCATCTCCGCGTCTGATTGATTCTCTTGCATCACCAGCCACACGGATATTACTGACCAATTCAAACCCATCTTTACGTAATTTTGTTAATCGTAGTCGACTTTCCTCTATCTGTTTACGACTTTTACTTAATTCTTCTTTAATTTCTTTACTGTCTCCAGGATCATTTGGGTCTCTGTAATAATTCCAAATTTCAAATCAATAATTTTATAAGAAGAAACCAAATAACAGACTAGTAATTAAGTAAGCAGTTTGTTCAGCTGGTGTTAAAGGGGGTATGGCTCTATTTTTTGAAACCTTGAAATGGACAAAAATGATTCTATGCCCATATTAGTGTAATGTGAATGTAGGCCTACAGTGATTTATATTCAATTTTTGAAAAACAATATCGCAATTTCTAATCAATTCATTGAATTATGTTCATTGAAATACGTGAACAGTTAAAATCGAACGTCAGTCGATTACGCCTGCTTAGTCCATTCCACAGGTTTTTTTATATTATTATTTTGACGTTTGTGAATAAGCCTTTACTAATTACTTCCACATTGTCTTGTAGTTGTAGGATATGTTTTTATTTGTTCATTACAAAATGGAACCTAAAACCATAGAATACACAACTTGTGTACTGATTAAAAATTAATTGTGTCGTAAATATTGGATATTAGGATCCTATATTTTCATGGCAAGATAACATCAATATTGATAGAAATTGACCAATATTAAATTCTAATTCGTGTTTTTAATTTCGAATATTATGGGAAATATTGAGTTACAGATTGAATGTAAATCATGTTATATACATTCATATTACATTATCATATGCATTGCGACCGATTTGTGTCCATTTCTAAGTGCTAAGGTATAGGAATTTAGCTCCTTTAAATCAATATTTATTTATTATATTCACCTACAGTGTAAATAATCTATCAACATTAAATTGCTAATATTGTAATAATAGTTCACAGACAATAGTTCATAATGGCAGATCATTTCAAATGAATTTGTTTGTGTTTTTGGATCTCTAAATTCTACATGAAAATGGTGTTTGATTATTATAAATTTGTGTCGGATGTGGCAATGAAAGAAAAATCTTGGCGATCAAAGAAAAATCACGGTAAAAAATGGACGGTAAGGATTCCAAAATAGCCTCAAAACCGAGATGGGGGGGAAAAGCCTTATTTTCATATCAGTTGTGTATAGGATCAGCCAGTAACAGAAAGAGGCCAAAGCGAATAAGATAAGAATCTGTTACTACTAGGCTATATATTATTTATAATAATCAATAATGATTATTTGGTTATTCTATTTTGACCTGCATAGGCTACCAGGCACTATCCAAAAAAACCAAAGAAAGAAGTAAATTACACTTCCAGGGCTGAATAACTCAATAAATAAGCTATAAAATTACATTACAGTCAGTGTGTGACTGTGAGTGAGTAGCAAAAGCTCGCTAGAGGCGCCACTAATACTATTTTTATCAATGTAAAAAAAACTGAACGTAAAATGTGTCATTTTTGTTCCGCGACTTCGGGAAGTTGTATGAACACCAACATCGATGACTTTGCACATATTTTGTGTTGAGACGAAAACAGAGTTTGTGTCGAGCATTGTTTGGACTTTTAGAAACGTATTTACGACTTATTTCTTATATTTTGAAAAAAATAAAATCATCAGAAAAAGGCAAAAACAGTGCTCTTCACTGAAAGGAAAGTAAACATATTTTCTCATATAAGATAATAAGATTTTTATTGATACATCATAAACAGATAAAAACAACATCAATATTCAACATTAGATTCAACATTAGTTACCTATATTGACAACTGACTGGATCTAGTAAAGTGTTTATGAACATCATTAGTGAACATTAATTTGTCTGTCAAGTACTTAGGGGTCAGACCATTTACTATACGATAAAAATGATTTAATTTTATTTGATTTACCCTTAAATGGACCGGTAGCCAGCCAACTTTGAGGAATTCATCACACCCAACATGGGAACGATTACTTAAATTTAAAACAAATCTTAAGAGCTTATTTTGAGTTGACTGCAACTTCTTCTTTGCTATTTCTGATAGATTAGAGTACCAGAAAGAACAGGCATAATAAAAGTGACATTGGATTAAAGCAGTAATTAGTAATTTCTTAGTATGTAACGACAAAAATTTACTCTTTCTATACAGGAATTTTAGTTTACAGTTAGCTTTTTTGATAACCTTTCTATATCAAAAGAAATAAATTATATAGCCCAAATTTAAAAATTCCAATAAATATTTAATAGCTGGAAGGATATTTCCTGAAAATTTGATGCCTATATCTTCAATGGATGCTGAGAAATTTTTTTCAGTCTCTTTTTTTTGCAAATTTTAAAAAAAAAGGGTATACTGACATTGATCAATTTTGGGTCATAAAAGTGCATTACATTCTTATTTCTTAATCGATTTTGAAATTTTTTGGGGGTTTCTTAAATTAGGTACACCAGTGAAGCGTTGAACCGCTGACGTAATTTCAATGTCGCGAGTCACACTTCAGATACGCCAGTGCGATTTGTGTATCGGCTTATTCTTCCTCGTCGTATTGTTGATTGGTATGAAACTGCGCCTTCACATGAGGTTAGTTTCGTAAATAAAAGGCTAGCTTTTTGCCCCGTTTTCGAATTTTTACTCTAGCTGCTCCGTGTGCAGAGAAATCTAAACATGAAATTGAAAGTAGAAAACAACACGATTTTTGGGACGGGGATACCAGAATAGCATAGGGTTAAAAATATATAAATTATCAATGAAATCGGTAGGTGCGGAGCCAAAATATGTAGTGTGGAAAATTTTTGATCCAGTTTCGCCGTCATGTAAGAAAGTTAGTGAAATTTTACCACTAGCGACTTCGCATGATGGCCTCACTTTTCCTTCTTTGTTCTTCAGACAAAAAGGGCATTAATTAGCGACAATTAGTTTGGCATAACTCCATAATTATAGGGCCTCTCATTAACATTAGGCAGTGGATATTTAACCGTATATACTTAACTTAACTTAACGTTCACTTCCGTTTAACATGCTTTAACATGAGCAGTTCTCTGATACCTAGACTTAGCAGTTTTCGCTTTGGCAATGCCATCTGACATAAACCCTAAACCTAACCCTAACCCTAACCCAACAGTTCTATTTGTTTTTTGTCTAACATAACTTCTTTTTCCGTTTCTTATAAAGGAACGAAATAGCCATACTTGAACTTCTATGGTAGAAACTGGAGAATTATTTTTAAAAGAAAATAAGATAATAAATGTAAATTGTACAAAAGCATTTAGAATATTATTCTATTTTGGTCGAGGGCGCATTTCTGCGGATTTTGGTTTTTAATTAAGTACTAAGACTTTCAGTGGTTTATGTTTTTCCCGTAAAATCGTGCTTCTGCGCCGAACTTGAAAGACCAGTTACCAAAATGGCGGAATATATCTGTACTTTCCGCCATTTTGAATCAGAAACGATGTACGGTAAAATAGCGGAAGTAGATACTTTGCCGTATACGGTTAAATATCCACTTCGTTAACATTAAGCTCATTTTTGGTGTCATTGTTATTGTAAAGCTGTGTTGGACAGTCCTATCCAGAAATAACAGAATTAAAGCCATACGGGATAGTTGGATTTTTTGTTGTCATACCGGTACCTACTTAAATGGGAGAGGGATTGGAAAACTAGTAAATATTCAATTGTAGTCACATTCAAAAATTTAAAAAGCTTTTGCTTTGCTAGAGTGAGTAGGACTCGAGCCCGTCGAGGACAAGATCTCAAATTACCTTTTTAAAGCTTCTATTCTTTTATTTATACGCAAACGCCTGGCTGCTATACGTTCCTCCTTATCATTTGAATCAACAGATGGACCAACCTCTTCTTCTTCGCCACTAGAACTCATTTTTGACTCAAAATAAAGTAATGTAACGAAGAATTTCTCTTTTCAGTTCTGTATAGTTTATTTGTTGCTATGCAAGGGTCGCCATTCATCACGTGACTGCAGGTTCGGGCCTAATTATTATTTTTATTCGAAGAGCATGAAAAATATTCATTTACAAAATAGAAAAGGTATTTCACGATAATATGATGTAAGATGTTGTTATATTTAATTCAAAACACCTCTAGTTCTAGTTGATTTAATTTTTGTTTTCAAAAGTCGATAGGTTTCTCCGGTACTACTACCCAGAATTCCCCAACATACTTCCTTTTAAAATTCGCCATAATGGGGGTATGTCCCATGCTGAAATTTATCACATATAATCCACATTCATCTTACTAAATAACAACTATTTATGATTTCGAATGATTTATTTGGTTGCAGAAATAATTTCCCTTTATTTTAAAGACAAGCTTTTTATCGTCGAATTAAAGATAATGGCCCTAATTTAGCAAGAATTTGTGTGTTGTCCAAAATAAACATTATTTCTCCAGTAGCACTGACGTCAACTGATCTCAAATTTGGACACTTGTCTCGCCAAATGGATTATGAAAAGCAATAAATATCGTGCCTTTAAACTACTCACCAGGGCATCATAATCTTTGTGCATTGATAATAAATAAGCTTATAAGCTTTCAGTCCACTTTGCGTTGTAAAATCAAAATTTCTTTTCGACAAATTCGTAACTAAACCGTAAACGTGTATCCACGAAGTTTCAAGTAGGCCCCTATGAAAAGTTTGCCTAGTCTACCGTGATTTGTGCCCAGTTTTTGTGTCCATTCTATTTGGATTTCTTTTTACACATAAAATAGACATTATTTGACTTGTGTATACTATGACCTGACTTCCAGGTTTCACCTTCATTTTTAATATCAAACTAACTTTTACTTTACAGCTACTGAGCTAGGCCTTGCTTTACAAATACAGCTAGTTTGAATGTATTACTAATTTGTAAAATAGTTACGTGTCAAACTGGTTACTGTCTGTGCCATAATACAAGTACTGCCTGGGTAAAGCGAAGCTGATTGTTGTCATTCAAATATGAAACCTTAAAGGAGCTAAATCGCCAACATTTGGGACCTAGAAATTGACAAAAGTGGGTTGCAACGCATATAATTCTGTAATATGAATGTATATAAACTGATTTACATTCAATGGTTTCCGTTTTTACTCCAATTTCAAATCAGTTATGTTCGGCGAAATAAGCCAGCAGTCTCAAGCGAGTGCAAATTTCTAGCGTCTGGTTATTCCAGTCTACATCCGCCGTTTGATTTGGCTCAATGTGTCTAGCCTCGTCCCTCGAGTCTCTTGATACAACTGGGGCTGAAGCGCATAATGGTACACGATTCGTGTACCAATGGTAAAATGTTTGTTTTGTCTTAAATAGTGGATATCAAAAGCCCATCTTTTTCCGGTAAGATCACAACATGAATGTTGATTTAATTTGACAAATAATTCGTGTTTTTAATGTTGAATATTTTGGATGATATTGAGTTAGAGACTTAGCTAATTTAATTAAGCTGATCAAGTGATGCAAAAAATGTTAAATATATCCCTTCATTCATGTGAAATTCCAAATTGTTTTTATTTAAATTGTAGATCTTGAGTATTTCATTTGATTAATTTTGTTTAAAATCAAAAAGTGTGAGAACTGAGAATAATTTCACTGACGTCGTCAATGATAAATTAGCTATGTAATCTTCCTTTAAGAGCGATGTTTGATAGCTCGGCGGGATAACTCTATGTTGACATGCACATTGCCTGTTTTGAACAGTGTATCTGGTTCTGGTCTGAATTTTTTTAGGCTAACATAACAAAGTAACATTCTATTACAGTTTGAGTTTTACTTGCACTCCTCCTGTGTTACCAGAAAAGAGCTTTGCTCCAAAACTTTGTGTCGCACGATGCTTTAGAGCTTCACTCTATATAAATCTATTATTACAGTTTTCTCCAAAACTGAGTAAGAAACATAAACAAGATAGTCACTAAACTTTTTTAAATCTGGTTGATTAAAATTAATCTTGCAGTCAAATCTGATCTTCCTTCAATCCAAAACCTAAATGTTGAATGGTGAATGTAAAAAAAACCAGTGATCATGTCCTCCAGATTAAACTTACCGGACAATGCAATTATCGGCCTATTGATGAATGATAAAATACAAATTTCCAAAAATATGTTACCAATTGACAGTTATTTTCGCAACGATTATTGAACAAATTTAATGAAAAGTGTTTGTGATATGCAAAGAACATAAACCAAATCAGTCAATTTTAACAGATCCAATAGGACGTTAAACACCATTTCATTTCACCCCACTTATAAATCTGCATAAAAAAAACCCAGATCATCCAAATATATACAGAACTCCTGCTTTTTAACTTGATTTCCATAACACTGGTTTCAGAGGCCCGTTGTATATTTATTATTTCCTTTAATTAATACTTTAATTAGCTAAATTTTAATCCATTGTATATTTCAGCCTAAACCAAAGACCAAGACCCCTGCTGCAGGCAAAACTCCCAAAAAAGAAGGAAAAGCTAAAGTTGAGAAAAAGGATAAAAAGAATAATCCTATGCGAGAACTGAAAATTGCCAAATTATGTCTGAATATTTGTGTTGGTGAATCTGGAGATAGGCTGACCCGAGCTGGTAAAGTGCTTGAAGCCCTTACAGGACAAACCCCCGTCTTTGCTAAAGGTAAAAGTTTTAAACACTCATTTTGGTCTGGGGGTCTAAAATAGGTTAGTTACATGTAGGCTAAATTTGATGTGTCATTTAGCCAACAATAAGATGCTTTTCCTTAGGCAATAATGGGTTTAGGCAATTACAGTGGTTAAAATCATTCTCCAGATTAAAAATTCATCCAGATTTTCTGGGCGTGTTTCCCCCTTGTCAGTGATGCAGGACGGGGAGGGCCTGACAAGAACAACTAATAGGTTAGTTACATGTAGGCTAAATTTGATGTGTCATTTAGCCAACAATAAGATGCTTTTCCTTAGGCAATAATGGGTTTAGGCAATTACAGTGGTTAAAATCATTCTCCAGATTAAAAATTCATCCAGATTTTCTGGGCGTGTTTCCCCCTTGTCAGTGATGCAGGACGGGGAGGGCCTGACAAGAACAGCTGTCTAGTCCTTCTGATGAGACGAAAAACCGAGGTCCTGTGTATACATTGGAATGCACGTAAAAGATCCCTTGGCAGTTGGAATTCAATATAAGAGTAGGCGATAGTGCCGCTGCCCGGGCAAAATTTCCCTCATAGCACACTGTGTGGCGTATGCCCGTCTTCATTAGCCCAGTATAGGAGCAGAACAGTAGGACGTTAAACCCCATTTCATTTCCAGATTAAAAAAAAACAGAAAATTTATACAGAGTTTGTTATCTTATGTAGAATAGTCCATTAATATATTGAATTTTCCTCCAGGAATAATTTAAGGATTGACAAATATGGGATCCTGTGTTTTGGGATGTTAGAAACCGGACTCCACTAAACTTTACCTGGTGTGATACTACTCCAGGGTGCCTATAGGTTTTGTTAACACATAACCTATAGGCACCTCAAGCAGGGTTACTTGTGCAAAAGTTCCTACTGAATTTTTGGTTCACCAAATACTTGCAGCTTAAAGGTGTCCATTGGTAAATTCCCATCCATGTCCTAACTTAAATTCCATGAACCATCATTGAATATCAATATGACTCACTGACAAGCTACGGCTGTCCAGTAAAACATTTTTGTCCAAAGTCACATTCACGTGAGACCTCCTAGATTAAAACTTGACAACAATGTTGGGATAGGTTGACCTATATAACATCTCCACTTTTTTACTCTATTTAAAATATAATTTGATATGTTGCATTTTTTTTCAACACTGTCCGTTCGGGACGTAAAACCAAATATTAATGTTTAGATAGCTACAATAGCAAAGTAAATGAATTAAAGTTGAAAATAAATGAGAAATAGATAATTTCGTTTTGTGTGGTATCCTGTTCGGAAAATTGAATTTGCTTTAGTTTAATAAATTTGCAGTTTATTGTTAGAGATGAATTTTAAAAATCTTGTAAAATGGACGGTAAAAAAAGATTTTGCGTGCAATAGATTGACTGCATATTGGACCTTTTGACTTTTCAGATGTTGGATGTTATGTTGTCAGAATATCAAAATATAGTAACATCTGACTTTTTGGATTAGTGTGATACCTGGCTATGACTGAGGATCAATTTGAGAGGATTCTTCTAGTTTTTGTGAACAAGTGTTACATATAGGTTTTCTTGTCTATTACAATATATTTGGTTCGTAAATAGTTAAATTTGTAAATTTTATATTTTAGCTCGATACACAATCCGTGCTTTTGGAATCCGACGTAATGAAAAAATTGCTGTTCATGCCACAGTACGAGGCCCTAAAGCTGAAGAAATCTTAGAACGAGGATTAAAGGTAACGATTTTAAGAAATGGAATAACTTTAAAGCGGATAGTCTTTTTAAGTAACTCTGAAAAGTTAAGACCCCACAGGTCACAAAATTGTTCAGAAGGGGTTATTAAATGTTTCTTTCATAGGCATTTAGTAATTGAACATATTAACACAAGGTACAATTTTATGGATACACAATTATTGAGTTTAATACCATGCAATGTTTCGACGGGGATACTCATCTTTATCAAGCTTGTATCGAGATTATTTTTCTTGTTGTATATTCTGTATATATTTGTCTACTGTTCATATATACATGTATCATTTGCTTGATAAAGATGAGAATCCTTGTCAAAACGTCGCTTAGTATTAAACTTGGTTATTGTGTATCCATGAAATTGTACCTTGTGTCAGTATTAAATGTTACTTTGGATTGTCCTCTCTGATAGAAGTAAGCTTATTTATAGTAATCCTGCTATTCTGATCTATAACAAAGAGACTGTTGGGACCTCTAGATGGTATACGATACCAATTTTTGTACCAAGTAACTATAAACACAAGTATCGTTATTTTGGCCTAACCATAGATTGACAAATATGTGCAGATTGGAAATCCGTATTTGCCAAAAGTAGGGTTGCAAAGATATACCGTTAGATGGTATACAGCTGTATACATGCCACGGTTTGGTTCACGGTACTATAAATCTGTACTGTGGTTCGTTACACAGTGCGTGAGACGGCACACCGCGGTATACATGCCACGGTTCAGTTTTGCCACGATTTGTTAAACACGGTATAGATTTTTTTTAACCATCCACTTTCTTCCCAAACTTAACTATCATACAGAGTTATGTCCCCTTGTTCAAGTGACAATGAGGAAAAATGGCTTTGAAAGTGTCCCGCCGAAGTTATATTCACCGCCACTTAACCATAAATCTTGCATATTGGAACATTTTGGATTTAAAAATGGACAAGCAGTGACTTACGATGTAACTAAGTGTCGCGATTTTTATGCCAATGTCTCCTATAAAACTGGGCACACATCAAACATAGTGACATATGTAAAACGCCACCATCCACAAATAAACGTCAATGTTAACCGTAAGGAAATAACATCACCCCCACCCCCTCCCCAACCCAAACGCAGATTTGCATGCAAGCAGGGCTGTCGGTAATTTTTCACAGTTGATTAGCAGCACTGCTAATCAAAAAGTCCAATTTTGCCGAATTTGATTAGCAAAGTTAAAAATTGATTAGCAGTTTTTCAGTTTCAACGTAAAACACCTAAATAACAAGATATTACTATAATTCATAACAAATATGATAAGATTCCATTCTGACTATTCTTAGATTTTTTAGCACTGCCACAAGTACTTGTGACAGTTTGTGAATGTGATGTAGACATTTAGTTAGGTCTTATGTCTGAAGCCAATTCTTGACAGTGACTTCCAAAGCCCCGTCCGTCCGGCGTCCACAATTGCTTGTGAGCGCTCTTAGAGGCTAAAGTTAATATCTGATTGACTTTAAATTTATACACAGTGTTTAAGGTCTTGAAACGAAGAAGCCTATTGATTTTCAACGATTTCCGATAATTACTGCCAGAGTTATGGCCCTTGATCACTTCAAAAAATCTTGACGCTCTAAAGGCCAAAGTTAATATCTGATTGACTTTGAATTTATACACAGTGTTTACGGTCATGAGACGAAGAAGCCTATTGATTTTCAGCGATTTCCGATAATTACTGCCAGAGTTATGGCCCTTGATCACTTCAAAAAATCTTGTGGAGGCTCTAAAAGCCAAAGTTAATATCCGATTGACTTTAAATTTATACACAATGTTTAAGGTCATGAGACGAAGAAACCTATTGATTTTCAAAGATTTCCAATAATTACTGCCAGAATTATGGCCCTTGATCACTTCAAAAAATCTTGTGGAGGCTAAAGTTAACATCCGATTGACATTAAATTTATACACAGTGTTTAAGGTCATAAGATGATGAAGCCTATTGGTTTTCAGCGATTTCTGATAATTACTGCCAGAGTTATGGCCCTTGATCATTTCAAAAAATCTTGTGGATGCTCTGGAAGCGAAAGTTAATATTCGTTTAATTTTAAATTTATACACAGTGTTTAAGGTCATGAGACGAAGAAGCCTATTGATTTTCAGCGATTTCCAATATTTGCTGCCAGAGTTATGGCCCTTGATCACTTTGAAAAGTCTTGTGGACGCCCAGAAGCCAAAGTTAATATCCGATTGACTTTCAATTTATACAGTGTTTAAGGTCATGAGACAAAGAAGCCTATTGATTTTCAGCGATTTCCGATAATTACTGCCAGAGTTATGGCCCTTGATCACTTCAAAAAATCTTGTGGATGCTCTAGAGGCTAAAGTTAATATCCGATTGAGTTTCGATTTATACACAGTGTTTGAGGTCATGAGACGAAGATTCCTATTGATTTTCAACGATTTCTGATAATTACTGCCAAAGTTATGGCCCTTGATCACTTTGCAAAATCTTGTGATGCTCTAAAGGCTAAAGTTATAATCCGATTGACTTCAGATTGATACACAGAGTTTAAGATCTTGAGACGAACAAGTATATTGATTTTCAATGAATTTTTATGACTTGAACAGTTAAATCCATGATATTAAAAGCTTTGCATACAAAACGTTAGCATGGGGCAGAACTTTATAAAAACCAAACAAATTCTAATAGTTTTCTGATAATTACTTCGTGAGTTGTTGCTCTTAATCAGATTTTAGTGTATTATAAATGTTTCATTACCGAAAAAAGTAAAAATATGCGATAACCCTTGTTGACTGCCCGGACGATTTAGTTGCTGTGGGAGTATGTTTCGTTGCCTGGCAAGCTATCTTTTTGTTATGTTAGAAATCTTCGTTAGAAAACAATTTCGTCTGCTTTTTATCATGTATTACTATTTTTGTTCAGACGCACCTCGATTAACTAGACACACGCGATATAAACAATAATATTTTACGGGAATTTTTACTTTGATTTATCATTTTACAATACGTTAACATGTATTTATTTTTTTATATTTCATTTACAATACGTGGGGGATACACTGGATTTATTTCTTTCAAAATGAATGATATAATTATTTGATATCTCGCAGCGTGAGTGGTACTACTTGATTCCCTATTTCTGGTTTAATAGTCCCTATTCATAGAGTTATGTCCCTGTGTTATATAGTATTGTGTCTGGGTAGTTTGAGAAGAAAATGTCACACGGAGAATTCAGTTTTGTTTATAAAATTTTATTCAACATTTTATACACGTTGAAAGTGTTGAGTAAGCCTTCTAGTCTTCAAAATGTGGTCGCCTGTCCAACCTCGTGGGTTTTCTCTCCGGGTCCTCCGGTTTCCTCCCACTGCTAAAACCCCTACGCGCAAGCGAATTATTGAAATAAAAAAATAAACTGTATGTTAGTCCCGAAATGACCTAGTTTGTGTCGAGTGGACGTTAAACCCCATTTCTCTCTCTCTCTCTCAAAATGTGGATTATTCTTGTGTCAGTATCCAAAATGACAGGCATATTAATGATTCGCAATAACTACAAATCATAAACATTAGATTTTAATTTTTGGTTAGCAACCTTACAAAATATGTATCACAAATTGCGCTGCGATACTGGTTGTCGGCAGCCCTGCATGCAAGATGCGATAAAATTTAAACTGCCCTGCAATTCTCCCCGATCTGAGGTCTGTACCGTGATATGTATCATGATTTAAGCGTATCGTTGCAGCCCTAGCCAAAAAGCATATCTGGTTAAATATATTAAGTATGCTTAGAGTTTGAATAGTTTACACTTTGAAAATTAACTTCTTTAATGTATTGTTGGTTTACTGGTCATTCGATGTTTTGTAGGTCAAATAGATGACCTAATCATTATTGAAGGAACATATCTTTAATTATTATTCATTGTTTCAGGTTATTGAATATGAATTAAAAGGCGGAAATTTCTCTGACTCCGGACACTTTGGTTTTGGTATTCAGGAACATATTGATTTAGGAATTAAGTATGATCCTAGCATCGGTATCTATGGTATGCATTTCTACATTGTTCTCGGACGGGCAGGTAAGATTAATTTACTTTATTATATAGTCACCACACCATAGACTACAAATCACAATTTACACATATAAACCAGAACTACAGATCAAGACAAATCTATAAGACACGTGTGTAAAAAAATCAAAGCCACAATTTGAATTTAAATCGTTAGTCGATTCAAGCGTCGTCGTTTGGATCCAACACGTGTTGCCTAACAGGAATGGGGGCTGGTCGAATGGTTAACGCGTGTATATTGGATCAGACTGTCATTGAGTCAAGTGGATAGTTTCGATTCCCCGCTTGTTCACGACAAGTAGGGTTGCCTGCAACCTCATGGGTTTTCTCTGTGTCCGCTGGTTTCCTCACACTTCTACCGACCCTAACGCGCACGCTAATTATTGGAATAAAATTGAACCATATGTTAGTCCCGAAATGACCTTGTTTGTGTTGAGTGGACGTTAAACACCATCTCTATTTGCCTGCCTAACCTTGTGGAAAAGAACACTTGGCTGACAAAATGACACACTAGAAAAATAGTGCCAGACAATACCTAAATTTGTGCCTGACTGTTGGCTTATTTCCAGACACGTTGATTGACAGAAAGTGTTGCTGATGTAGTGACCGGAAGCAAATTCTAATGCTTTCTGATAATTGTTTCATGGGAGGTTGCCCTTGATCATGTTTTGTAAATGCCCTAGTTATCTATTAAACAATTGTAAGGAGAGGATCATTATGTACTGTTCTAACAGTGTACATGTAGCTGCTGTGGGTGTGTTGTACCTTGCAACCTCTCTTTTAGTAAAGCAAAATTGATGATCCTTAGTGAGCTAAATGCAGTAAACTTCGCATAAGTCGGATCTAAGTGGACTGAACAATTTTATCCGAGTTAAGCAAAGATCCGAGTTAGCCGAAGACTGAAATTCAGTCTTAGCTCGATTAGAAATAAACTGCAAGAGCGGGATAATAATTGATTCAAAGGCAAATTTCAAGCTTTTGTTCGTATGTGCGAGAAAATAACTTACTTTTTGTTGCCATCTTTGAAAAATGTCATAAATTTTCCCGGAAAGTGTCTCGTACAGCAGACAGCGTGTTTCGAATTTTCCGGAAAAATTCTATTATTACGTCGCGTCAAATAGGCTAATTTGAGTCAAAATGATAAGAGGAAAGTATTTTTGGGCTCTGTGCATGGAATACCTGACCAAGTTTTAAACCATCGGGACGAAACTGACAGTGAAATTCTGAACATACTGCCGATCCGACTAAGGCGAAGGAAACATTCAGGAATTAGATCAAATGGACCGAACAGTTTGATATGATTTGAGTGAAGATCCGACTTATATGAATCCGACTTATGCAAGGTTTACTGTATAGCATTTTGATGTGCTGCTGATTAAGGCCTGTACTTGACCATCTAGCCATTGTCCAATTGCATGTTCTTGAGTGTACATGTGTAACAGTTATTTATTTTCTACTGCTTCATCAAATGTACATTTTAAAAATTCTAAAAATCCAAACATAACATTCAACAGTGGATAAGAATATGCAGTTATGGCAAAAGTGTTTTCCACTTTGGCCCATTTATAGAAATATTGGTTTAAACATATTTTGTTGATGTTGTGTAAAATAATTGGACAAAGGCTACTCGAAGCTTCCTTTCCTTTTATGGAAACATTAAAAGTATTGAGTATTTTCTACAACATGTTTTCTAGTTTCAGCTGAAAGATTATCAGTGCATCACTAGTTTTAAAAAGATTATAGAATATTTTGTGTATATTTTCAGGATACAATGTGTCCAAGAGACGACGATGTAAAAATAGAATAGGTATCAAACACAGAATAACTAAAGATGAAGCCATGAAATGGTTTCAACAGAAGGTATGTATAACATGAAAGGATAATTTCCACCAGCAAAAACTTTTAACATTCTTTCGTATTCTAGAATTAGAAACAGTGTTAAAACTGAAAGTGAATAATTTCTGCAGTCATTTGTGTGATTTACACAAAAGTTCATTATTCTTTGTTTCCAATTGTCGTGTGTACAGCTTTTGGTTCTGACAAGTTGTGTAGTCGTTTGGATGGGATAAAAAACACAGGTCCACTTAAAATAGCCCTTGACAATTAGAAATTCTCTCTAATATTGCACACATGACTGTAAAAACAATAAAGAGTATGTTGGTCTCAATCGGATTGATAAGATAATTATAGTAAAGGTATAAATTAACATTTACGGTATCTGGTCAATTGATAATATATGTATATAGAAATTCATTGACAGTGTGACCACAATGTTATGGACATTGAGCACTAGAGCTTGTGGTTCTGCTAGATTTATGTTTATCCTGAAATTAATGCACAATCAGCTTATTTCACTTGGTTGGAAAATGTTGTATAACTTTTCGAAATGTCTGCTAAATAACTTATAAAGGTTTTCCATAAGTATGGGTTTTTTTTTTGCTCTACCCAATTACTCAATACAACTGATCCCTGGATCAACGTCTGGAAATGTTGTAGGAGGCCTGGTTCAGCATTGAACATGATGAAAGCCATCTTTAATTTTGTGTTTGAACTGAGGTGTCAAAAGTTGATTCAAGTACGGTAGCTGTCATCATTACCTGTGTTTTGTTAAGCAGTGGACACATTAGCCGAATCAATCGGCGCCGAATTTTATTCGGCCGAATGGGTGGACACACTAGCCGAATGCTTCGCCCGATTCAACCTGTCGATTGCATCACCTTTCACGTCACATGATTAAACATGGCGGCGTCTATGTCTACAATCTATCACGTGACTTTTCTATATGAGTGGTGAATATATCAAACCTGTTTGATTCGGCTGAATGACAGTGGACACACTGGGTCGAATTTCGACGCCGAACGATCTGGCCGAATCATTCGGCTAGCGTGTCCACCGCTTTAAACACAGAAATATGTGGCCCATCTTTAAACCACATAAGTTTCCTAAATATGGAATTACATTGTAATATAATTTATGTTTTGTTTATTTTCAGTATGATGGTATTATTCTACCTGGTAAATAAACTTCAATCCTGCAAAATAAAAAAAAATAAAAAAACCCTAAAAGTTGTTTTTTATTCTTTATTGAGGTATTTTATTCTCACTCCAGAAGTAAGGGTTAAACAAATGTGATGTACCACGAATAGTTACATGATATTAGTTTGGGTATTTCAGAATTCCAGTGGTCAACCTCGTACTAATTTTTGAGAAAGGACATGACCATTTGTTACTGTTGGTAGTGAAAAGCATTCAGCCCAGTTAGGACTACAAGCACCCCTCATTTTTATACGCCCACATGGAAATGTGGTCGTATATTGCCGTCGGTCCGTCTGTCGTCCACAATTTCTTGTGAACACTCTACAGACTACATTTATCATCTGATTGTTTTGAAATTGATATATGTTGTTTGCATTAGTGAGATAAAGAAGCAAATTTAATTTCAATAACTTACGTTAATTTCTTCTGGAGTTATGGCCCTTGTTTCACTTTGTTGCACCTTGTGAACACTCTAACGACAAGTTGTCATTTAGATTAGTAAAACAAAGAAGCTTATTGAATTTCAGCAATTTCCATTAATTACATCTAGAGTTATGGCCCTTGTTTCACTTTGTTGAATCTTGTGAACGCACTAATGACAACAGTTATCATCTGATCTGTTTGAAATTGATATGCATCATTTAAATTAGTGCAACGAAGATGCCTATTCAATTTCAACAATTTCCGTTAATTAAACCGTGAGTTATGGCCCTTGTTTCACTTTGTTGTACCTTGTGAATGCTTGACGACAAAAGTTATTATCCGATCTGTATGAAATTTATAGGTATCGTTTAAATTAGGAAAACGAACAAGCCTATTGAGTTTCAGCAAATTTCCGTTAGGACTCAGACTAGCAATTATTTGCCCATTGACTTCAATGTTAAATGGCTGTAACATCACAGGCTGTAACTTTTTGCTCAACATTCCGTTGGTTCCAATCTTTATAGGCACAATGGGGAAATTTGGCAATCTCATCATAATTTTGTAGGGGGTTGACATTTAGATTTTTTGCTACGCGGATTTGAAGTTGACTGGGGTGAAAATCTCACTTCCGACACAATTATTGCTCTGCAGAAGGACACTTTACACCCCCTATCCCTCCGCTGTAATATCATCAGTGTTACCCAAAACTGCTATGACATTGCAAATTTGATCCCTTTTCTCCATTTCGAGACCAAAAAGCCAACCAAAAAATGCAGGAAGAGGGGCGAAAAAAATTCAGGGAAAAATTGTCTATAACTCGCACACCATCATGAAATAAGGGGAAATAATTACTAGTCTTAGTCCTCGAATTGTAGTTCGTCTATTTATAGCAATTCTCTTTCTCTCTCTCTTTTCTCCCTTTTGCATGCCCATTTTTGTTGAATTTTTGGTCTTGAATGGACGAAGAGGGTTTGAATTAACATTTTCTGCCAGGTTTTGGTAAATATTCATGATTTTGAGGCGGAAGGATAACGGGGTTATCAGGTTGGCTATGGCAATATGTACGGCAACTAGTTACATGTTTTTACTTGTCTGCGATATCACCTCGGTGGAAGAGGACGTAGAATACAACTAACTACTACTACTACTACATGATTTTAGTATGCTTCTTCAAGTTTGTGTATCTCAAAATTTTGGTGGTCAACCTCATACAAATTTTAGTGCAAAGACATGACCATTTGTTCCCTTGTCTGTAGTGAAAAGCATTCAGCCCAACGAAAATTTTGGGAAAAGTTGGAGGTGGGTAGAGGTCAGAATTAACATTGAAGTTAATGGGGAAATTAATGGTGGTCTGCCTCCAATTACATCTAGAGTTATGGCCCTTGTTTCACATTGTTGAATCTTGTGAACGCTTGAACAAAAGTTATCACCCAATCTGTATGAAATTCATATGCATCATTTAAATTAGTGAAATGATGAATCCTATTGAATGTCAGCAATTACTTCTAGAGTTATGGCCCTTGTTTTATTTTGTTGAACGTTCGAACGACAAAAGTTATCATCTGATCTGTATGAAATTGATATGTATTATTTGAATTAGTAAAACGAAAAAGCCTGTCGAATTTCAACAATTTCTGTAGATTACTTCCAGAGTTAAAGCCCTTGTTTTAGTTTTTAGAACCTCGTGAACCCTCAAACCCTAATTACCTACAAAAGAATAAATATACGACCACACGGACGATTTAGCTGCTGTGGGCGTATGTTTTGTTGCCTGGCAACCTATCTTTTACATATTAAAAACAAATTATTGAAATAAAGTTGTACAATTTTTTTGCCCTGAAATGACCCAGTTTGAGACAAACTGATGTTAAACCCCGTTTCTCTTAACACCCACCTAACCTCCTACGATTCTAAGTTTAAGCGCAATGTCTGATTGTACTCTTTTATTACAATTACAGAAACATTGCTGCAATATCTACATTTTCCATCCATTAACAATCGGTAATTAATATTGATGAATTTATATAACATGGACCAGACCATCAATTGCTACTTTCTACTCCAAAGACAAATTACCTAGATATTTCATTACACCAAGAATTCATGTGTAAAGTTACAATGTATAAAACGGGAATATGCAAGAAAAAAATTCGATAAATTCCTCCATTCTTTGCAGATTAGCCACGTTTGCAACATTTTATGGGAATAACTATCGGGTGAAAATTAACCTTTTATCAAGGGAACTCTTCTCCAGAAAATATTAGGCTACAAACTCTTTTTCATCAATTCGTATTCATGAGTACGTAACAAAATTTAAACGGCCGCAAACGGGTTTTCCTGATATTTCAGTCGGCGAATACAGCAACCTGAAAGTGGACCAATATAGCCCATATGAACTTCAATCAATCAGAGCCTTTGGAGACGCCCAACTCCTATAGAACCAACAGGAGGGATGAAGTTGTATTTTTTAACTCATATTTTGGAGCTGGCATGCCATAAAAATCCATTTCAATTATTCCCATCAGAGGCGTGCGGGAGCCTACGACATGGGTATTTTTGGGAATACTAACTCTAACTCTAGCCCTTTTTAGAAGACTGAACTCGGATCCAATTTACCTTTTACCACCGCAAATTGGGAGTAAAGATCGCAAAAGGCCTCGCCTCGCCAAATAATACATTTCTATTTAACTATACGGTTGGTTTGGTAATACAGTTTATGATGTAGATACGAATCACGTGGAAAAATAATATACATTATATTTATGCGGGATTAGCCGTCTAGATTACACAAGTTGCTACAATGGCCTCTTTGGAAGGAAAAGTTATAATCATAACCGGTAGGTTCATCATCTTACATACACCCTTCAATTGATTTGATATTATTTGTCGTTTATTTCTTGAGTGTACAGGCTAACATTAATTCAAGGTCAATAAGTAGGTAAATCTTTTTATACCCCCACATTTCACTATATACTCATCCCTTCTAACACAAGGTACTCCTTGGTTTGAGAGTTTTAAATTTTACAAACTATACCACATATGAACGAACTACATGTAACACACATCTAATTAATAGTTGAAGAACATTTTGCAAGTCTACCTTAACATGATGCCATGGTCATCGTTCCATGAATTCAGACGGGTAGAACAGTTAGTAATTTTTTTATAAATGTACTTTTATGTGTCATAAATGAATACAATATGCATGGAAATACAACGCGTACTCCGGACGGATCTAGAGGGCGGGGGTGGGGGTTGTGCTGCTCAGCTACATAAAAATTGTAAAACAACACTTTTCATGAGAAAAGTGTCACGGTCGTGTGCTTTTTCCATTATCATCCTTTATCCCATCCGAACGACTAGACAACTGTCCTTGTCAGGCCCTCCGTCCTGCATCACAGACAAGGGGGAACCACGCCGGAAAACCTGGATGAACTTTCTCGGCCGATGCAGGGACCGAACACCCGACCTCCAGGCTAGCGAGCAAGCGTCTTACACACTTAGCCACTGTGACCCCCCACTAACGTTGCAATGCATACTATATCGTAAAATATCATGATTGAAGTTGGGCCGATTTTTGGCACATTTGATCAATTTTTCCAAATAAGAAAGGGGACCCACAGCTCACCAACTTAAAAATGTTCCAGGCAATCCGGTAGCAGGCCTGATAGGTGTGGATAGTTTCGAGTATGAATCAATTACTAATTGTGAAGTAAAGCATAGGTGGCCTTAAATAGGCCTAGTTAAAGTTATTCATATACTGCAATGTATTCATATCCAGTAACTTCGCAATTCCTACAACCGGCCCTGGATTGAAGGCATATTGGTACGAAATCGATAATTGGCAAGATAATATTAACAAATCGAGCATAGCATTTAGCCAAATTTGTTTCAAAGGGTTGTCAATTGTACGGTAAGGTAAGGTCCTGTCTAATCTATATACCTAACTCTCGCTTCTTGCATGCATGGTCACTAGTGTATAACCAAATCGGCTTACTACAAATGAATACATACTGAACGTAGGCCTATATTACCCAAGTTTTAATTTCTTGAGGAATTAATCGGCGAGGACATAGAAACGAATATTTTCACAATTACATACGGATTTAGAGATCTGAACTGTCGGTATAGGTGTAGAAAAGTAGGACATTAAACCCAATTTCATTCAGAGATATGAACCCAATAAGACTAGGGGTTGGATGGCCGAATGGTTAGCACGTGCGCGCTGTATCATAAGGCCTGTCAATGAGTCAACTGGCGTGGTTTCGAATCCCCGGTTGTACGTGACAAGGAGTAGGGTCGCCTGTCCAACCTCAGATTTTCTCCGGGTCCTCCGGTTTCCTCCCACTGCTAAAACCCGGCCTACGCGCAGGCGAATTATTGAAATATAATTGAACCATGTGTTAGTCCCGAAATGCCCTAGTTGTTTTAATAAATTGTACAGGGGTGTTGGATGGCCGACTGGTTAATGCGTACGCGTTGCATCATAAGGTCTGCCATTAAGTCAAGTGGTTTGGTATCGATTCCCCATTTGTACGTGACAAAGAGGGAGTAGGTCGCCTGTCCAACCTCGTGGGTTTTCTCCAGGTCCTTCGGTTTACTCCCAC